AAATTTATTCCAAACCTGTTTCTCCTTTGTGCCTCACATTAATGGCTTCCTAGTCACTCCCTCAGAACAGGCATCATTTTAGAGTCTTTCTTCCCTCACAAAGGTTTCATTATTGATTTCTATCATGAAAAAGTCTCAGATTTTGAAATTTCAGGTGTGTGAGCAATGGTAGTATTCATGCGAAAGGCAATGAGTGCAGATTCCTGTCTACACTTTAGGCAGTCACTCTTCTCAAAAATTTTTTAATGGTAGTCAGGGGTGGTGGCACATGCCTATATACCCAACACTAGGAGGCTGAGGCAGGAGGATCCCAATTTGGAGCCAAGCTTTAACTTAGCAATTTACAGAGACCCTGTCTCAAAAAAATGACAGAGGGTATGGGTTATACTAGGTTCAATCCTCAGGAGTAGAGAAAAAATGTTTAAGACTATTTCATTATTTGCTAACTAGAATCTAAAAGTTCTTCAGCCTTAGTTCCAACTCATGTTTCTTTCATTCTACATGTACAGCCTTCTTCTCCTCCTGCCTTGCCTTGTCTTCTGACCACACATATTTGCCCCATTCCCTGACCCAGGCCAGTTTTCATCTTAGTATCTTTGATCACTTTGTTCTGTCTTTACCACCCCCAACCCCCATCTGATGGAGATCACTATGAAGGGGTTCTAAGCAGGAGTGAAAATTCATCAGTTGGCTTTCTGTGTTTACTCGTGAGTCTGACCCACACCTAGGCCCCTTGTCTGGAGATGGGCAGCAGATTCACAGTAAGTGACCTCAATGAATGACTGATCCCAGCTGAGGCTTGTAGTGGCCTGTGATGTCCTGACATCACAAAGGACAAGAGGGCATGTGGCTCCCACCCCAGTTAACTGCATAAAGGCTGCAGGCCTCTCACTCCATTGGTGGTCAACTAAAGGAGTTCTCCTAAGTTAAGATGATTTATTACTTGGAGAAGTCCTTAAACCCACTCCCAAGGTCCTGCTCAGTTTCCCTTGTTTTCCATTCTAAGCCCTTAGTTTGAAGACCAAATAAATACCGGCCACATAGAGAAGCTCTTTGTCTCAACCCCTAGAGAATCTCAAATTCTGCTAGAGGGTTTTGATGTCCCTGGAACCCTAAAATCATGCCACTTGTCTCTTCACTATCCCCTTATTTGGGAAGCTGCAGGCCCGATTGGTCTGGGATATCCATCTTTGCTGGCCTCACTTCATGCAGGGTACCAGTTCCTCTACAAAGCATCTGAGGACACTTCTAGTGGATTTTACTATTTCTGTAATTTCACACTAAGGAAGAGAGACTAGAGGAAGTATGATGCTTTATAATGATTCTAAAATCTGCCTTATTTTACAGTTAGCCTTTTCTTAGCCTTTTATTCCCTTAGTATTATAAAGTTTAAGGACTGGGGTCATCTATTACTCTTCATTATGGTTTCTCACAGAGGATTTTTTGCTGATACAAATCTTATAATATTGGTGAATGTAATTATATTTAGAATGACAATATTTGACTTAAGCATTCACAATATTATGGGAAGCTGAAATTTATGAATTGCTAGGAATTCCCTGTCTCATCATTTAGAACATTGTGTCCTCATTCACTTCTGTCTACTCCATCAGTGCCTTCCAGGTTGTTTTACAGATTAGTTTTTATGTTTGCATGAGAAGGTACTAACCAATGGCCAGCTTTTCTAAAGATCTACTGACAGTCTGTATCATCTATCTACCTATCATGCTGGGCATTGAGTTCAGGGCCTTGTGCATACTTATCATGTGCTCCAATGGTAATTTTAGAGAAATTACAATGCCATAGTGAAGTTTTGCTGTTGTATTGTCACTCACAATGTGAATTTTTCTTTTTCCTAACCTGAGACAACTGAGGAGGACGGATAGTTACATATATTTTAGTGTCAAATGTGAGATTGTAGTAGTTGATTAAACTTTTTAAATGAGGTTCAAAATGGATGAGCCTAAATTATGTCAGAAAGACATAGACACTGCTTTTAGTGCTTATATTGCTCTGAAATCTTAATAGCCCATCATAAATTTCTAGTGCCAAGCTTTTTTCAACTATTTATGCATTCTATATTCGCTACTCTCTTTTGCAAATTTTTCTTCCCTTGTGTAGTTGAATAGTTGGTTACATTTACTTTTAACTGTCTTAGACTATTTAAATTTTGTTCTGAACACAAGAAATAAATGGTAACTCTAATGTAAGGCATGGGGTCGAGGCGGTGAGAGAAAGGTTGTGGGACTTGAGCTAGGCATATTTGGCATGTATATAGCACATGGGTGCCACATGTGTAGCACTTGGAGTGTGAGTCAGTTTTAGAGTGCATGCTTGATAAGCAAAAGGCCCTCGGTTCAATTCCCAGCATCAAACATTCATAAATAAAAATTTTAAAAAATCTTGTGTTTTTGGAGGGCATAATTCATATCTCAGTTCAAATGTGACTTACTGAATAACCTCCCACTTTTTCTTTTCTTTCTTTTTTTTTTTTTTTTGTCTTTTTGAGACAGGGTCTCCCTGTGCGGTTCAGGCTGGCCTTGAGCTCACTTTGTAGCCTAGGCTGGTCTCGAATTGGCGACGATCCTCCTGCCTCAGCCTCCTGAGTGTTGGGATTACAGGCATGAGCAGCCAAGCTGGGCAACCTTCCCCTTTTTGAGACAGTCTCACTATGTAGTCCAAACTAGCCTTGAACTCATGACAATTCTTCTGCCTCAACATTGCAAATACTGGGATTATAGGTGTGCACCATCACAACTGTTCTGAAGAGAATTGTGATTCTAAACACATGGATTCTAAAGTGATTTATTATTATTTGTTAGTTGGATCTGGTGGTGCATGCTTGTAATCTCAGCACTTGGGAGGTTGAAACAGGAGGATCACTGTGAGTTCGAGGCCAACCTGTGCTGTAAAGCCAGTTGAAGGCCAGCCTGAACTGCATAGCAACACCCTGTCTCAAAAAGGCCCCCCACCAAAGTATTTTCCTTCACAGCATCAGTATCCTATTTTCTTCATAACACTTAACACTATCTTAAATGATTCACTTGATGGTTATCTGTTCCCTCTAAAATATAAATTCAATGAGATGGGAACTTGGTAATATTCCATTGTGCCCCAAGCACTGACACAGAACTGTGACTGAATACATACTTGTGGAATGAATGAACTAAATAAGCCCTTGTATAGCTTGATCACACCCTATCAGCTTATTTAAGGAGCTCAAGGGAGAAGAACATCTGTATTAATAATCTAGAAAGCGACATCATACACAGTTAGTACTGTGGCCTATACCTGTGTAGTCCTAGCTACCTAAAAGGCTAAGATAGGAAGAGGTAAGTTCAAGTCCAGGCCAGGTAAGATGGGGAGATGGAGAGATCCTATCTCTAAAAAATATGTAGTAAATAATTTTTACCAATGTTAAATAGTACCTGAGTGTGATGACACATGCTTATCATCCCAGCACTAGGGATCTGAAGCAGGATTAACAAGTATTTGAGGCCAGCTTGAACAAGACTCTTTGCCACCCTCAAAGAAGTGGTGTAGTATTCCTTATTCATTTTTCTTTTCAATTTTTTTTTTTTTTTTGAGACAGGGTCTCACTGTGTAATTCAGACTGGCCTTGAACTATGTAGTTCAGTGTGCCCTGGAACTCACAGCAGTCCTCCTGCTTAGGGCTCCTGGGTGGTGGGGCTATCGGCACACACTACCACACTTGGCTCTTTTCCATCTAAATTCTGTATGAGGTGTTTTATGTCTCTGGGCAGAACATGACAAACTTTAAGAGAATTTCATGCTTGAAACAGTAAATTTGAGTTTGGGACAATATTTTCAAAATATGATACACATTTTTTTTTTTTTTTGAGACCGGGTCTCTCTATGCAGTTCAGGCTGGCCTTGAGCTCACTTTGTAACCCAGGCTGGTCTTGCACTCGCAGTGATCCTCCCACCTCAGCCTCCTGAGTGCTAGGATTACAGGTGTGAGCCACCATGCCTGGCTCTATTTTTTATTTTTGAGACCTGGTCTTGTTATGTAGTCCAGGCTGCTCTCAAACTCAGCGACAATCCTCCTGCCTCAAAGTTTCAAGTGTTGGAATTACAGGCATGCACCTCTACTCCCAGCTACAATATGCATTCTTATGGAACATAGCTCATATATATATATATTTTTTGTCTTTTTCATTTTTATCGGTACCAGGGATCGAACTCACGGCTGCCTGCTTGCAAGGCAGGCACTTATGCCGCTGAGCTAAATCCCCAGCCCACATAGCTCATACTTTATTTTACTTTATTCATTTATATTTTGGGCTGGGGATCAAGCCCAGGGGCTAATGTCGGGCATGGCGGAACAAATCTGTAATCACAGCACTCAGGTTGAGGCAGGAGGATCACTGCTTGTTTGCAGCCAGTCTGGGTTACAAAGTGAGTTAAAGGCCAGCCTGAACTGCATAGTGAGATCCTGTCTCTAAACCAAACCAAACTCAGGGACTACACTGAGCTATACTTCTAGTCCCATATCTCAAAATACTCACTTTAACTATGATTTAAAGCCTAGTTATTAAAGTTTAAGTGTACTTAAAAACTTTAAGATGTTTCTATATCACAGCTGTCAAATAGAACAGTGCAGTGCAGTTTAAGAATTTAAGGCCTAAAAGAAGGAGTGTTGGCTAGAAGGCTATTTGTTCCCAGATGGTGCGTATAATGAAGAGGCTGATGGACCGAAAAACGCAATGGTTGGAACCATCCTCGCCTGGGAAACCACAGAGAAGTCAGTGAACGTTTGATCTAGTGCCCGATTCCATGCTCACTCTTGCCTTCTGAGTCTAGCGAAGACACAGGAAAGAGGATCGAGAAGGGAAGGGAGGAGAGCCAGCCTAGCTCCCGCAGAGCTGGACCCAGTTGGGGGGTGGGGGTGGGCGGGGCACCTCCCTGAGGAGGACGAGCCCGCCCGCCGGAGTCTGTTTCCCGGGTAACCGGGTAAACACACCAGGCGTCCACTCCTGTGAATTCCGCTCAGAGTTGGAGGCAGGCAGGAGGCGGTGGGCAGGTGGTCCTACTGGGGATGTGCTTTCGTGAGAGAGGATTCTTCCCAGGGATTGAAAACTGGAGCTAAGGACAGCTCTCCCGTTAGAGATGAGAGCCCTTGGCAGAACGAAGGTGTCTGAGGGGAAATTTCCCCTGAGCGTGGAATTGGGCAAGGATGATTCAGGAGTCCAGAGGATCAGTACAGGAATGAAATCTCCCAAGGAGTTAGGGACTGACATGGGATTAGGACAAGACTCCCAATGGAGGGAGAGGCCTGGGGTTGGCAGTAAATATACGGAAAGGGGGGCCTTACCAGAAACAAAGTCTTTGGGCAATGAGCTTGAATTGCGGTTGAAAAGACAGACCCTCACAGAGAGGGGCAGTCTAGGGCTCAGTGGGGTCTCGGCTTTACAGGAAACAGAACCCCTGGGCATGTCACCAGGGAGACGGGTGGCACTGGAGAATGAGTGTTGTGTGGGACAGCCTCCCTCAGGCGTGGTGTGTGGAAGTCCACAGGCTGTGGACAGCAGAAAAGCTTCTGTGGCTGGTGGCCCTGAAGGAACAGAGCAGTCTGTTCTAGGCTTACAAGGAAGACCAGGGCTGGAAGAAGAATCCACCTGCGTTGTGATGAAATCCAGCACAGAGGTGAAGCCTCCTGTGGAGGTGGACACTGGCCTACCCCAAACGGAGTCAGATGTCACAGAGCCCCAGATGGGCTTGGTCATAGAACCTTCCCCGTGCCAGCTTGCTCAACCCCCTGAGGAGGCTGGCACTCCTCTTCCCCCAGTGGAACGTCCGGACTGCATCAGACCCATATACTCTGGGAAGTTTGTGGATCGGATGCCTTGCTGGCCGACGGTGAGTTTTTCCCCTTGTACTTTTTCTACAAACTATATATGGTCATGTCTTTGTTGAAATGTTAAAATATCGAGACTTGTTTGGGTTTGTGGAGATCAATCACAAGACTTCACTAAATTCTAATGTTCTTGCCCTGCGGAGCCTTGCAGATGTCACTTCATCTGGTAGCCTTTTATTCTCTGCCTTCCTGCATTGATGTCACTTTTGTTTTCTGTGCTTAACAGTGGTCATTCCTGATATCTTCCTCCTCTTCTTGGACTTTTATTTCTCAGTCTTCAGTCTCTCACCCTCTGATGTGCCCTGGTATTCATATTATGAATAAGTGGAAACGTGTTCTCTCTACGTTTTGTTTACTCTGTCAGTTGTTACTTTCAGCAAAGACTGGTAATGGTCATTGTGCAGAAACAAGATGATACAAAATGAAAAGTATGTGGTCTCTGCCTTTTTGGTTTAGGCTCACGCCAGTGCTGGAGACAGATACTTGAATGAATGTTATCCAAGTGTCTAAATGACTACAAATATGAGTCTGCCTTCACAGAAATGCATTTTTGCCAGGTGTGGAGGTGAATGAGGAGACTAGATTGGGAGGACCACAAGTTCACGCCCAGGCAGGGTACCTTCAGGAGACCTTTGTCTCAGTGGTAGTGCACTCCCATTTCCATCCCAGTGTGGGAAAAACACACATGAAGCTCAATGGAAATATTCCCAGAGTTCTGTTTAGAGGAGACTGGACAGGCTTAAATAAGGAAGCGAGCTAACACTGAAAGATGGCATAGGCTGGTGATGTAGCTCAGTGGTACATCACCTGCTTAGCATGCAAAACCCTGTGGGTTACATCCCCAATACCACAAAAATTACAAAAAGGTATTTTGGACAAAGAAAGACTCTGAGGATGATCAAAGTCACTTGTGCTCAGGAGATATAAATAATTCTACTAGGCAACATGGTGTTGAAAAATAAAGAAGAAATCTAAAGTTTTAGGGTGCAAGGGTAAAGTATATGGGTACAAGATTAAAAGTGGATTTTGAGACAGTATCTCATTATGTAACACAGCCTGGCTTTATGTCTTGTCTTTTGTTTTGGTCTGTTTTTTTTTTTTTTTTTTTTTTTTTTTTTTAAAGAGGGTAAAACAAAGCAGATCAGAAGAAAACAATGTAAGTGACACAGATTTCAAAGCAAGACAACAGGAGATTTACATTGGCTACCATAGTGTTTCTTGTTTTCTTCTAAATAGTTGTCTAAGCCGGGTGTGGTAGCTCACGCCTGTAATCCTAGCACTCCCGGAGGCTGAGGCAGGAGGATCTTTGTGAGTTCCAGACCAATCTGTGCTACAAAGTGAGTTCAAGGCCAGCCTGAACTGCATAGACACCCTGTCTCAAAAAGACAAAACAAAACAAAAAAAATAGTTGTCTATATCTTCACACACAGTGAATTCATACAAAACAAAATAGTATAAAACTGACCAAAACAGAATGATGAAGGCATTATAGGCCTTCAAAAATAGACAACAGAAAAATCAACAGTGGCTGCCATAATGTCTCTTCGTTCTCAAAATAGCTATCCAAAATAGCTTCATGTATGTTGAAGTTAAACAATACAAAACAGACTAAAACCACTCTGAACAAAGAATAATAGCATTACTGGATTTTACAGCATGACAATATGGAATCAGCAATGGATACCATAATGTCTGTTTTTCTTCAAACTAGCTGTTCATTTCATCACACATAATACAATCGATTCTTGTAAACCGTTTAGGAGAAGTTCTAGGCATGTGTAAACAAACCTCTGTATGTATACCTATCCTTTCTGCATTAGAGGGAAAAAACAAGACAGACTGCTAGAAAAATAAGAAATAAAAAAGACAAATAACCATAACAAAGAGCCCAAAACAGTGATGATATAGGCTTTCAAAACAAGGTGGCAGGTTGTTATTTTACACAGTGATCTTCAAGAGTTCACAGGCTGACTTTAAACTGACTACATAGCCAACCCTGGTCTGGAACTCATGGTGATCCTCCTGCATGTAAGGTGAACTTTAACTGTATCATATTTATTGTTTACCTTCATGGTTATCCCAGTGCTTGCCATATGGTAGCCATTTAGCAAATGCGTTTTTCATAGTTTAAGTCAGGATGATTAAATGGGAAGTAGAATGGGGAAGAGGTGGAAGTGGGAGTATGGTATTAAGGAATGTAAAGAAAGCATATTTGAAGCTTCTGGGAATAAAAATTCCACAATCTGAAATCTGAAACTAAAATTGTTAATGAGGTCACGGGCTTCTGCAGAATTTTGTCGGCCCACAGGCTTTTGTTCCCCTTGGGAGTCAGGGTGTTTTGTGTCTGACCCACTTGGCTTTCTGGATCCATCACTGGATTTCCCCAGCCACTGCTTTTTTACGTGGTGCTTCCTGTTTCTGCATTGCTTCTGCAGCTGACCCCTTTTAATCTGATCTCACCCACAGATAGACTCAGTTTCTGGCTTCCGAAGCAGGTACCTAGTTCTAGAACTTCTGCTTCCTCCCGTTTCACTCACCCTTCTTACTAAGAAGTCAGGATGGAGGAGAGAATGTCTTACTGAACTTCTTCGGTAGGCCAAACAGATGACATTTCACTCTGAATATTAAGGAAATTAGCATTGTTAGAATGACAGTAGCCTCATGGCTTTCCTCATGAGGTGTAATGAAGGTCCTCTCTAACATGCTGATACCCTCCTCAGAGGAATTTCTGTACTCAGCCCAAAATGATGAAAGTACTTTTCACCGGCTCACATCCATATTTATCCATGTGTTCATCCAGTCTAGTAATTTAGTAATTTAACCTTTCCATCCCCTGCCAGCCTGCATCTTCACATTCACTTCACTCAGCGCCCCACATTTCTGCTCTCATGCTTTCTCTCCTCACCGCCGTCTGGGAGACCAGGATACTCCTTATGAGAAGTTGCTCTCAGTGTTTAAAAAAAGAAACTTACATATTTCAAACATATCAGAAGCCTTGAAATAGATAAAGAGGAAATAGATAAGAGTTGCATTTCTGGGAATGAACAATCGTAATACTTATTATGGGCACAGGAAGGACAGAAAAGATCTGAGTTACAATTAAGTAGACAAAAAGCCAAGCCAAGTAGGATTTATGTCATTCATTGAAGGGGATGGGCTAGAAATGAGATGCTTACAGGCATCAAAAGTTAGTGTATTTCTCGAAAGCAGCATAAAAGCACACCCATGTGTTTTCAGACACACTGGACACCATCTCTTGATCTTAGTTGCATGCAGCTATGCTTCCGTTTTGCTGATGATTTAGGGCAATACAAAATTAACCTGTGAACTACAAGATTGCTTTGTTTTTTCTCCCCTCAAAACAAGGTCTCGCTGTGTAGTTCAGGCTGGCACTGAATTTACAGTGCAGCCCAGGCTGGCCTTGAACTCAGCATTTCTTCTGTCCTAGCCTAAGGGCTGGGATTACAGATGTCTAGATTGCTTCTGAACACTGAGTATCTCAGCATGTCACAGAGGTCTGTAATCAGATGGACTATTGACAATACTAATCCTATAAAAATACTTACATTTATATTATATATATATATATATATATATTCAGTTTTTCAACTGCTGGGTATCAAACCAGCACCCCATGCATCTTAGACAAATACTACACCACTGACCTGTACCCCAGTCTCTGTACTTAATATTTAATGTTTACATAGCAGGAATTTCTTAGATTTGCTATTCTTTTTTTCCTCTTGCTTTTTAGTTGAAAGTAATTTTGTAGTATAGTTTTGAAATAAATTCCCTTCTTCAGAATGTTCTCTTCTATCCTGATAGTGACCAACTTTTGCTTTTTTTCCCCTTAGGCAGGGAAAGTGTCTCCAGTTGGATACAGAGTTGCAACTTGCTTAACTGAAAAACTTCCTAGGGTAAGCATTTTCTATCTGCCTCTGTTTCTCTTTTTGCTTTACATATGATCATTAAGAGATAGACAGCTCTTAAATTCATTCTTTTTTTGTGATAGGGTTTCACTGTGCAGTTTAGGCTGGCCTCAAACTCACAGAATCCTCCTGCCTCAGCCTCCTGAGTTTTGGGATTACAGGTGTGTACCACTATGTCCGGCTCAACATTCCGTCTGAAAGTTGTGGTCAGTTTGGGCTCTTCATTGACTTTGTCTGGGAAAGTAAAAATTACAGATTTATGTTTTTTGGCTCTGTAAAAGTCGCAAAGGATTCAGTTATTTTGACATGAATAGCTGGACATAGTGGCACATGCTTATCATCCCAGCACTTGGGAGACTGAGCAGAACTGTACAGATTTAAGGCCAGGCTGGGCTACAATACTGAGTTCAAAACCAGCCTGAACTACATAGTAAGACTAGATCCCCAAAAGACAAACAAGTGCTGGAGATGTAATTAGTGGCACTGTTCCTGCCCGGCAAACGCAAGGTCTTGAGTTTGATTCTTGGTACTAAAAAATCCAAACAAACAAACAAACAAAAAAGGTATAATTTTAAATCTCATACTACTTAGTTATTCTCTAAATATACTTTTAAAATATATTTTTTTTTCTCAAAAGCAAATAAGTTTTAAAGGAAATTTGAAGCTGTAATTCTCTGTGTACTTTACTGCACTCATGAATTTAAGGACATACATTGATTGGTGTAGAAAAACTCAGTTATTTAAAAATTATGCTTAATAATTCTAATTTCTTATCTTACTCTTTGTAGCTAATTACTCCACCAGAGGCAAAAAAGTATTTCAACTTCAGGTACCCACCTCCTGGGGCCGAGAGAATATTCTATGGCAAAGCAAATGATCCCCGAATTGCACCATACTTGACACATGGAATAAGATCTAAAATTTCAATACCGGTAACAAGTTTTCTTTTTTTTTTTTTTTCCTCCAATGTACTTTATAAATTTACCAGAATAAAAATGCATAAATGAAGAATCTAATCTTCTTTCCACTGTGTATTTTTTTGTTTTTTGCTTTTGTTGAGGTGGGGTCTCGCCATGTAGTTCAGGCTGGCCACGAACTTCTGGCAATCCTTCTGCCTTAACTTCCCAGATGCTGAGATTACAGGCTTCTGCCACCATGCCTGGCCCCATTATATGAAAGCATTAATATTTTGAAAATTTATATTAGTACATGTTTGCAGTACGTACTGATTATATTCATCATAGGAGAAAGCATTAATCTTTTTTTTTTTTTTTTTTTTTTTTGTCTTTTTTGAGATAGGAACTCACTATGCAGTTCAGTCTGGCCTTGAGCTCACTTTGTAGCTCAGGCTGGTCTTGAATTTGCAGTGATCCTCCTGCCTCAGCCTCTGGAGTGCTGGGATTATAGGCATGCCACCACCATACGTGTTTTGAAAGCATTAATTTTGATCAGTGAAAAAAATCCAAGCAGTATCCAAGAGTGAAGAAATCAGCGGTTCAAACCACAAACTCTTCTTATCTTCTTCCCTCGATGATAAAGGAGGAGTTATAATCCATTTTCTGCCATTTAACAGAAATGCTTTCAGGCTTTGTTTCAGGAGAATAAAGAAGACAGTGTTGATGAGTCCTGAACAGAAGGACTGCAGGATGCTTAGATGCTGAGTGGCAGTAGAGTCTGAAAGTGATTTGCAGTTGATTGAATGTAGTCTAGATTCAGAAGGACCTCATCTATGCATTTTGAGAAACATAGCGATACAATTTTTGGCTTGTTATTCCTACTTTTTTATTAGTATGTGTGATATACAATGAGACATTCATACGTGGAGTTCATACAAATGGCGTCTTTCCACTTTTCTTGAGTATGTGAGTCAGTTTGCTGGCACTATTCAAGCTTTCTAGTCCCATTGAAACCTTTAAATTCCTATGATTATTCTCATTTAGGCATATGTGTACTGCATAGTATCAGTGCTGATAGTTCATTTGAAGCTGAGAAAGCCACAGTGATAATTAAATATCTTTCCATAAGAGAGTATTTCTCTCTTCTTCCCAGCTTTTGATTAGGACTTTAGTTTCAGATTTATACTTTTTTTGTTGACGTCTATACACTGTATCATTTCTTTAGGTAAATGCATTGATAAACCCACAGCCTATCACCACATTTCAACAGAAAATTAGAGATAAAAAAGAGTCTATATATTATAGCAATCGGTGGGCACCATTAGGAAAATCTCATGATCAAACACCGGGATTACCTAAAGGAATGGACATAATCAATACGACGTTTGGGACAGCAGTCATCAGAGGTAGTAAAACATAGCGGGGGTATCAAACAATTTTCCAATTTCTGGAAAATTGAGTTAAATATATCATTGGTCTGGCTTTTGGTGATTTAAATGATTATTCAAAGAGTGAAAGACAGAGCTCAGTGTGGTGGGGGAGCGCCTGTTATGCCAGCTGTTTGGGAAGGAATCTGGGCTGGGAAGAAGGCAGTTTGGAGACCAGCTTGGACAGCATGTTGAGACCTTGTCGCAAAAAAGAGGGTGGGGGGTGGGGAGAGAGAGAGTGACCCGAGGGGGGAAGGGAGGGGAGGGGACAGAACGGGAGGGGAGGGGAGAAGAAAGAAAGGGAAATGTAGTAAATCCAGGCTGCATCCTGAGGCCTTAAACTCCTTAGTAGCTCACACTGGCTGGCCTCAAACAAGTGATCCTCTTGCAGGCTCCTGAGTGCTGGGATTAGGGTTGTGCTCTACCCAAGTGCAGTCAGGGAAATTTGTGCTATTCAGTTGAAAGGGAAGATTGAAACCGTAAATGGAGTTGCATTTTAAAGTTATTATGTAAATCAATGGAAACAAAATAATTAACCAAACAGGCAACTAGGGACTACCACTCATGGGAAAAGCAACTTTTAAACAGAGGTCTATCTAGAATTTAGACCAGTAGGAAAAAGAATCTCTTCCAGGTTCTAGTGATTTCCCAAATACCTCTGGGGATGGAAATTCATATTGAAAAAAACTCTACAGCTGTAGTCACCCACAGAGCATTAGGGTTTCTAATTTAAAATACGTATTTGCTTAGGTCGCGTTAAGAAGCTGGGAAGAAACTCACATAGAAGTTTTCTAGAGAGTCTTAGGGCTGGGAATTTAACTGGGTGTGGGCCCTGACTCAGGACAACCTAAATGGCTGACTGACACAGAGTTCTGGAATTCTTCAGAATTCTAGGTCAGGAGAGTTCTCCAGATTATATCTTGTCTTCCTTGATAAATCTTGGCTTATGCTGGCTTGTGATCTCCTAGAATATCTGTGTACCTTGTGTGTCTATCATTTGTTCTTGTCAATTTAAGTACATTACAGATAGATACTTTGAAGCTGACTTCATTGATTCTTCTTTCAGAGGTCTCCGCTAGAGATGTAGTGAATCCACCAAAGTCCTATGAGGAAGTATTTAAAGAAGGAGGAGAAGGACACGACTTGTATGTCATTTCTCACAATGATTATTATGCGGGTGAGTGCCTGTGGCTGTGGACCCTCAGATTGTGAAGAGTAAGGGACATAATGTTGGTACGAAAAGCTCAGTGCCTGGCCAATAAGAGGTGATTCATGAATGGCAATTTATTGTTTTTATAAGGTTGTGAATCCTGATAGGAACTTTGATAGGGAGCACATAATCCCTGCTGAAGAACACAGGCACCTAAACTTTAATTCCTAGAGATACAATCCGGGGGCCTTGCATATGCTAGTGAAGCCCTCTCTCCCTGGGATATCCCCCCCTGCGCTACTTATGCATTTGGTATATAAAATGTAAAAATATATGTGTTTTGTATTAATACATAATTACATATAAATTAATTACATATTAATATGTATATTTTGTTTAGTGGCTTTAGGCTGAAAAGTTACTTTTTTTATTCAAATGCCAGTCTTACTCTAAGTGCTAGTTTTAGATGAAGAACTCTAGGTAATGAACTCTAGGTACACTAGAGTGAACTCTAGGTACACTTTTTTTGTTTTTAATCTTTTTTGAGACAGGGTTTTCCTGTGGCATTCAGGCTGGCCTTAAACTCACTTTGTAGTCTGGGCTGGCCTCAAACTCACAGAGATCCTCCTGCCTCAGCCTCCTGGGGAAGTGCACATATTTTTAGCACAGATAGATCAGGTTCAAATGCTAGTTTATCCATTTTCTGTCTTTTAGATCTTGAACAATTTACTTATTTGATCACTACCATTCTTATCTCTTAAATAGGTATACTAATAATATGAAGATTAAATACATGCAGAATGCTGAGCATAGCCCATGGAACATGATAAATGTTCATAACTATTATTCATGCTTACATTTATTAAGTAATCTTCTCTAACAATACTAAAATTATTCTAAGGCATGACTAAAAGGAATTCATTACGACAGCATATTGATGGTAGGTGGTTGTAACAGAGGGCTGAGAACTACTGTGTTCCATGTCCTGGGAAAACCCATGGATGGTGTGAAATTCAAAGATTCTCTGCTAGCCAGACATGAGAGCTACCTTTACTGTAGAGCAGCGCACTTGTGACTTGCTCCTTTTTTTGCTTATTTCTTCTCTTTTCTTCCCCTTTGCCTCCTAACACCATCCTGCCTTTCCCTGTTTCTTTCAAGCCTTTATCTGTATCTGGGGCTTTGTTCCTCCCCGCATTACTCTAGCTTTCCGGGTCTTTCCATCTCTGTGGATTGCCTGGTGCTCCTTCCTGTGTTCCCAGTCCTGAGGACCCAGCTCCTGGGCAGTCTCTGCTCCTGCCCACTTGGACTCCACACTGCTCTCGCTCAGCCCCTCACTGGATCTCCACCCCTCCTCTGGGCCTAGCCACCTCTCTTCTTTTTCCCTTTTCCCTTCCTGTCTTTTGAAAATGTCTGATGTGTTTTTAAAAGTCTTAGCATCTACTGTACATCCAATCCAATGTCTTCTAATTGTTTTAAAAAGAACCATGTCAGTGAATGTGTGTGTGTGTATATATATATATATATATATATATGCAACCTATAATGAAGTATAAGCATTAATACTCTAAAGAAATTTACTATAACCTTTATATTTAGAATAGCTCTAATGAATAACACAGGACTGAAATTATTTGCATTTGCTGATTTTTTATGAAAGTTTCATGGCTGGAGATTTAGCTCAGTGGTGTAATTGCCTGCCTGGCAAGCATGAGGTCATGAGTTTGATCCCTGGTTCCAGGGGGAAAAAAAAGATAGTTTCATTAGTCTCTTAAAAGTCATGGAATCTAACTTTAAAACATTGTTCTTATTTTTTCATAAGGAAAGTATCTTTGTTTTTTACATATGAATATATAATCATATGCTGATTTTAGGGGCACATGCCTGTATCCCCAGAACTCAGGAGACTGAAGCAGTAAGATCCCCACACATTCCAGGTCAGCCTGGGACAGATAATGAGTTCAAGGCAGGCTCAACTCTGGAGCCAGATCCTGTCTCAAAAAAGCCAAAAAATAGCAAAATAACAACAGCACCCTCATAATACTAGTGAGTTTAACCATAAAAATGAAAAAAAAGTAAGTGTAATCATAAATCCTTTTTTAAAATAGGATCTTATGTAAGCTAGGCTGGCCTGGAACTCAGTATGTAGCTGGTAGTAATCCTCGTGCCTCAGCTTCTAGAGTGCTGGGGTTACAGATGAGACCCTGGGGACCCAGTGATAAACCTTATTAGCTAGAGATAACTTTGGTTGATAAATCAAATATTTTTCTTATCTCCATTTGTTAAGCCTTTAGATACACAAAATAGTACTTTACATATTTTTTTCATCTGATTAGAATCATCTCAAGTACTTTACATATTTTTGAGAAGTCTACTGTGTACATTAAAGTTTTATACTTAATTTTTCAAGGTCTCCATTTAATAGCCACAGATTTATAACATCTTTAAAATATATTTAATCTTAACTAAAGTAAGAGACTTCTTCTATAAAGTGCAAAATATATAGAAATATACAATATACAAGAGTATCTCCTTTAAATTCCAACCTTTATATATGCTTTTCTGTGTACATTCATCTGTATGAGGATATGTATATATTTTAATCATATTTTGGGCCAAGGATTTAGCTCAGCAGCATAAGCACCTGTCTGGCAAATGTGAGATTGTGCGTTTGATTCCTCGTACCAAAAAAAAAAAAACCATATATATTTTTTCTTGTGAGATATTTCAGAATGTCTCTCCCCAGCTCTTAGATTTTGAGACAAGATCTCTCCCAATTGCCCAGGTGGCCTTGATCTTGCAATCCTCTTGCTTCAGTTTCCCTAGCACCTGAGAGTATAGATGTATACCAGCATGCCAAGCTCCGAATGACTGACTTACTTTTTCCTGCCTCCCTTCCTTCTGTATTAGGGATCAAACCCATGGCCTAGCATATGCTAAGCCAGTGCTTTGCCATTGAGTCCTGTCCCTGGTTTTTCTTACTTTTTTGATTTGTTTTGGTGTTGGGAGCATAGTACCTTGCCTAGTCAACTCACCTCCGCCTTGTTTGCTTGCTGTATGGTACTTGGGTTTGAATCCAGGGTTACTACATCCCCAGCCCCTTTTTAATTTTTATTTTGAGACAAGATCTTGCTAAATTACTAAGTTGTCTAGGCTGAGCTCAAACTTGTGATCCTCCTACCTCAGCCTTCCAGAGCGCTGGTACTGAGGCATGCCCCCCCACGCCTGACTTAGCATATCTGTTTCATGTTGGTATCTATATGGTATATTTCATTCTTACAAAAATGTGTTGTTTGCCGGGCGTGGTGGCTCATGCCTGTAATCCCAGCACCCGGGAGGCTGAGGTGGGAGGATCGTTGCGAGTTCGAGACCAGCCTGGGCTACAAAGTGAGCTCAAGTCCAGCCTGAACTGCATCTCGAGACGCCATCTCAAAAAAGACAAAAAAAAAAAAAAATTGTCTACATACCTTTGTGAATGTGGTCTGTTTTTCCTTTAGATTACATTCATTTCTGAGTGTTCGAACTTTTCACTCCTAGAGCCAAACTGTCCTCACAGATAAATGCTTCATTTTGTCCTCAGATGCAGCAATGTAAGAAAATTTCCATTGCCCCTTCCCCAAAAGTGAGTTTAGCCTATCTTTATTTTTCTTAACTGAAAGGCAATAATAGTTTATTGTTATTGCTTTTATTTACATTTACATTATATGATTACTAGCCAGGCTGAGTATCTTTTCTCTCCTTTTTTTTTGGGCAGGGGAGGTGGTGGTGGTGGTTCTGGGGGTTAAAACCAGGACCGTAGCACTGAAAATCCCCTGCCTTTTTTTTTTTTTTTTTTTTTTTTTTTTTTGAGGTAGAGTCTCACCAAGTTGCTAAATTGCCCTACTTGGGCTCGAATGTGCAATTCTATTTTGGCCTCCCTAGGCTATGTTTACAGGGATGTGTAACCATACTCAGTTCTCTATTGTTATTATTATTTTTGAGACAGAGTCTTGCTATTTAGTGTAGATTGACCTTGAGCTTGATTATGTTGCCTAGGCTGGCCTCAAACTCAAGAGATCCTTCTGCTTTAGCCTCCTGAGTGCGGGATTATAGGCGTGTGCCACCACGCCTGGTCTGAGCCTCTTAATTGTTCTATAGTTTCAGTTCTACTTTTTTTTGGAGACCAAATCTTACTATGTGGTGCAGGCTGGTTTTAACTCACTATATTCCCTAGACTGGTCTTGGACTCACAGTGATCCTCCTGTCTCAGCCTCCCAAATGCTGGGCTCATCGGCATGACTCATTGTGCTTGTCAGTACCCGAGTTTTTGGATATCTGAGAAATCATTGCCAGGGCCAAAGATTTTCCTCTGGTCCTAAAATTAGGTTCTATCAATATTCAATTGATTTTTATGAGTAGTGTATGATAAAACTTCAGTTTCTTTCTTTTTTTTTTCAGGTTAAAATCTAGTTTTTCCAATACCATTTATTGTTGAGCCTCTTCTTTCCTCGTTTTATATAATCTTGGTGCTCTTGGCAAAAATTAGTTGATTCATGTCTGCCTGGATTTACTTCTAGGTTCCATATTCTATGCTGCTGGTCTGTGTGTCTATTTTTGGTAGCAGTATTATACTATTTTGATTACTGTAGCCTTTATAATTTTACTATATTTGTACTTTTTTGGCACTGGGGATTGAACCCAAGAATGCATTCTATCATTGGTCTGTTACTCTATACCTCTAGCCCATGTCATGGGCTTTTCTATCAGCAGGTGTGGTGCCTCTAACTTTCTCTTTGAGGACTGCTTTGGCTCTTTGGGGCTCTTTTATGCTTTTACATTAATTTTACATTTTTTTTTCTATAAAACGTGATTTTGATAAGAGTTGAGTTGGATCTGTTTATTGCTCTGAATAGTTGGGATATTTTGACAAATAGATTTTCACAATCCATGTACATAGAATATCATTCCATTTGTGCCTTTTTAATTTCTTTCATCAGTGTTTTATAGTTTTTAGTGTAAAGATTATGTTAGTTACTTTCTCATTGCTGGAACAAAATACAAGACACCCACAGTTAAAACAGGAAAGGCTTATTATAGCTCCCCATTTGAGAGGTTTCAGTCCACAGTTGGCTGGCTTCAAGGCAGGGTGGCACAGCAGAGGGGCACTGCAAGGAAAAACAGTGTATAGTGCACAGAAGACAGTCAAACAGTGAAATATCAAAGAAGCAGCAGCGACAGCCTCTCTGTCCCTTACATCTATCCTTCTATATACCCCCAGGGGACAGCACTCACACCCAGAGTGGACCTTCCCATTATGCACTCCCAGACTATGCCAAACCAATCAGGGGACTAATTCAATAATCATACACCCTTGATCCCAGCATCACACTCTAGATCCAGCCACCTCTAAAAATCCCCACCTATGACTGACTACATGAGGCTTTGGAGGAACATCATATTACACACACCCTGGATTCAACAAACCTCAGAAAGCCCTCTGTTAGCACATGAGACTTCGGAGGCACATCTACATACAAGCAGCTCAGAGGTCTTTTTGCCATTTATGTGAAATGTATTCTGAAATTCCAATTGTGGTGGTGTATGTTGTAGGCTCAGCCACTCCAGAGGCTGAGGTTGGAGGACTGCTTGGGTTCAAGAGTTTGAGCGAATATAGTAAGACCATATCTTAGCAAAGCGCCACAATATATAAGTATTTTGTCAGTTAATGTTATTTAAGTGGGATTTGTCTGTTTTCTGTTGTGCTGAGCTACATCCCCAGTTCTATTTTGAGACAGAAGAGTTTCACTACATTACCCAGGCGGAGCTGGAAATTGAGATCTTTCTGCTCCAACCTCTCACTGCAAAGGATTGTTTTCTTGATTTCTTTTTTTAGGAAGGTAATTTTTTTTTCTTGGTCCTTTTGAGACAGGGTCTCTCTATGCAGTTCAGGCTGGCCTTGCGCTCACTTTGTAGTTCAGGTTGGTCTCCAACTCACAATCCTCCTGCTTCAGTCGCTCGAGTGCTGGGATCACAGGTGTGTGCCACCATACCTGGCTATGTATGTTTATTTTGTGACCTGCAATTTTACTGAATTCTTTCATTAATTCTAATAGGTCTCTGTGTGTGTGTGTGTGTGTGTGTGTGTGTGTGTGTGTAATCTTTTTCTACATGGAGCTCTCCAAATATTAATACAATATTAATACAATGCTGGTGGGGTGTAGCACCCCACCAGTCTCCCGGCTCGTGTGGGGAATGCTGCTGCTGTCTATGGCCACATCTTCCCAGTTCCCTGCACTGTTATGATTTCATTCTTTGTCTAACTCTTATTTTCAATATCAATAAGAACTAGATAACAATATGCAATATATTAACTAGTGTTAATTTCCTACTTTCTTTTGAAATTCCATATTGTTTCTAAAATTAAAATAAAAATAAGACCGTGACATACTTCTTGCAAGGAAAGGTTATTTATATTGCTTAATTCAAAAATTTCATTCCTCTCACAGGAGAAGCAAAGAACAGAAAGTATAACCCGAAAAGTTTCCACCGGTTTGACTTATTTGGTGTCCCCACGCCACATTGTAATGACGGAAAAAACATGGCAAAAAGTTTACATTGGCTCCATGAACTACAGATGTAAGTTTAATTAGATTGTGTCTAGGACTGAATGTTGCATATTTGACATTTGGGAAGAAATGTTTATTTTTAATTTGTCTTTTAGAGATTGCACACTGACATAATTCAAACATAAAGTTACAGAAAAATATACAGTGAAGTGTCTTTCCTTTCTGATACACAGTCTGTTCAATTTCTCCCACAGTAAATATGACACTATTTTTTGTTTGTAGCTCTCTGAAATTACTTCAAGAATTTATAGGTAAATATAAACACATGTATATATATTTGTTTGTTTAATCTTTTTGAGACGCAGTTTTAATATGAAGTTCAGGCTGACCTTGCGCTCCCTTGGTAGCCCATTTTGGCTTTGAACTCAGTGATTCTCTGCCTCAGCCTCCTAAGTGCTGGGATCACAGCCTGAGTCACCACACCTGGTGACTTGTGTTAGTTTTTATGCCCAAGGCAACAAACACATATTTTGTGTTCCTAAAGATGTAGATTCCCTGGTATGATTAAAAAATAAGGTTGTAAATACTGTAGTGGTAAAGTGGGTTGAAATGATAAAAACTGGTGTTCTGCCCCACATAAGATATGCCCATGTCCTAGTTCTTAGAATCTATGAATGATACCTATGGAAAAAGGACCTCTGTAGATGTCATTCAGGATGAAAGAGGTCATCTTGGATTATCTGAGTGGATTACTCTGGTATCCAGCATTACCTGAAATGATAAATTCCCTTAGAATGTCAGAGGGAAATTTGAGACAGAAAAAAAGACATTTGGAACAGGTGAAAAAGCAAGCGGCAGGGCCTGGAGTAATGTGGCTGTACATTGAGGACACCAAGTCATGCCAGTAGCTACCAGGTGTTGGAAAAAGAAGGGAAAGGATTCTTCCCTAGAGGGGTTGAAGAAATGAGGGCTTGCTGACCCTGGATTTCCTATTTTTGGCTTCCAGAACTGTGAGGGGATACATTTTAGTTGCCTTAGCAAGTTTATGGCAATTTGTTATAGCGACCACAGGAAACCAGTATACTAGGTCTGTACTCACTTCCTCCCCTTCTTCCCTCCTTCTCTCTCTTCTTTCTTTCTTGTGGTGCTGGGGATTGAACTCATCACCTTTTCACTGAGCTATATCCCTAGCCCTTTTTATATTTTGTTTTGATACATGGTTTGAGTTACTAAATTACCCAGGTTTGGCTCAAATTTGTGATTCTTCTGCCTCAGCCTCCCAGATTACTAGGATTACAGGCCTGTGCCATGCCTGTGTCAGCTCTACAGTCTTCTGTGTCAATAGTAGAGGGAGATTTGTTCTGCCTTTTGACTTCTAGGTTTTCAAAGCCCCCGTATATTGGCCAGTTTTCTCATCTCTGCTATATAATATCTGATGCCTGCAGCTTGAAGGAGAGGTGTAATTTAGCTTATGGTTTCAGATGTTTTAGTCCACAGTTGGATGGCTCCAAGGCAGGAATGTCATGGTGGCCTGGCAGAGCAAAGCTACTTAGTTCACGGCGGCCAGGAAGCAAAGGTGCAGAAGGACCACAGAAGGATAACCAAAGATCAGACATCATACTGATGGTCACATCTCCATGACCCACTCAGACACATCCAGAAATGTGCTTTAAAAATTCCTTCATCTGGGGCTGGGGATTTAGCTCAGCGGCATAAGCGTCTGCCTTGCAAGCAGGCAGTCGTGAGTTCGATCCCTGGTACCTATAAAAAAAGAAAAAAAAATTCCTTCAGTTGGGGCTGGGGATTTAGCTCAGCGGCATAAGCGTCTGCCTTGCAAGCAGGCAGTCCTGAGTTCGATCCCTGGTACCTATAAAAAAAAGAAAAAAAAAATTCCTTCAGTTGGGGCTGGGAATTTAGCTCAGTGGCAGAAGCACCTACTGGCAAGTGCAAGGTCTGGCAAGCGCAAGGTCATGAATTCAATCCCAGGCACACACACAAAAAATCTATATCTATATCTATATCTATATCTATCTTCAGTGGCCAGATGTGGTGGTGCACACCTGTAATCCTAGCACTCAGGAGGCTAAGCAGGAGAATTGCTATGAGTTTGAGGGCCAGGTTGGGCTACATAGTGAGTTCAATGCCAGCCTGAACTACAGAATAAGAACTTTTCTCAAAAAACAAAAACAGCTGGACATGGAGGCGCATGCCTATAGTTCTAGCTCTTGGGAGACAGGCTGGAGGATTGCTGTGAGTTGGATGCCAGCCTGAGTTATAAAGTGAGTTCATGACCAGTCTACATTACACAGCATGACCCTGTCTCAAAATGAAACAAAACTCCTCTTTTTTTTTGGTGGAACTGGGGATTGAACTCAGGACCTTGCACTTGCCAGGCAGGCACTTACGCTGCTGAGCTAAATCCCCAGCCCCTAAAATGAAACAAAACAAAACAAAACAAAACAAAACCCAGCCAACCAAACAAGCCAACACCTCTGTGCTCCCAAGCCAATCAAATTGACATGATTAAGCTTAACCATTACACTGTCCTTTAGAATGTCTAAAGGGTAGATAGAACCTTTGGGTCATTAGTAAGGATATACTTAGTAATTCTTTGGGGGTAGTTATAGAAAAATACATTAGCCTTCTAAGAGCAGACAATATGCATCATGTGTTTCCCTCCTGTTGGTCTCCACCCTCTAGGAGCATTATTTATGGAATACTGTTTTATTAGATCATACTTTTTGTATTTTCAAACTTCATTGAATATTACTATTAAAAGCAGTAAAGAAATTCTTAATTCCTTTGATTTACCAGATTTAAAAAAAAATTCACCAGGTTCAATTCTTATTCTTCAGTGAAATTTCTGTTATAAAGTCAAGCGTGTTTGTTTATATTTTAAGGCATCTAATTTTACATGCACTATTTAATGTAAAATTGGTATACTCTCAAGTTTTAAGGGGTGTATTTCTTTGTGAAACTACCTCTGTATTTTATTTTATCTTTATCTATAACCATTTAGTCTGAAGAATCAGTTTGAATCATCAGATGCTAGGCTGTGTGTGTGTGTGAGTTAATTTGCTGGTGGTGCTCAAAAAATGTTGTCTGAATTGGTTACTGAATTCCCATGAGTTGTATAGTGATCTTATTGATCTTCTAACATACTGTCTATTCACGGAAACAGTACATACTTTTAAATTCTCCTAAAAGCATAATTGAAGCACTTTCAGACTACAGAGTCCTTGGCTGGGCCTGGTGGTATACTCCTTTAATTCTAGCACTTGGGAGGCTTGCCTGTGAGTTGAAGGCTAGCTTGGGCTACCTAGTGAATTCAAGACTAGCCTGAACTTTATAGCAAAACTTTGTATCAAAAAAAAAAAAAAAAAAAAGAGTTGATCCTGTGCCTTTTAGTCTATTCTTTTATCATTGCATTTTAAAATTACTCCCTTTGGAACTGATCTAAGTTTTAATTTTGTTTTTGAGACAGAGTCTTGTTATATAGTCCATACTGATCTTGAATTTACTATGTAGCCCAAACTGACCTTGAACTTGTGATCCTCCTGTCTCAGCCTCTGAAAAGCTAGGATCTCAGGCATGAACTACTACACCTCACTCATAGCCGATTTTTATTTGTTTTGTTTTATTTGTTTATTTTTAGTTTTTTGAGACAGGATCTCACTACATACATCTCACTGACTAACTCTTGACAATCCTCCTGTCTCAGCCACCCAAGTGTTGGGATTATAGATGTGTGCCACTATACCTGCTTTGCAGCTGATTTTTAGATTGTCAACTCCATTTGCTCAAATTGTAGTCCTTAATTTATTGTACTTTACCCATGTACTTTTTTTTTTGCCTCAAAAATGTGAAGGAAATGAAGAAATATGAGATGAACTAGGTAATATTTTGTCTTGGTTACTTTTCTTGTTGCTTGGGCAATATACCAGACACCCACAAGTTAAAGAAGGAAAGGTTTACTTCTGCTCACAGTTTGTGGAGGTTTCAGTCTGTATAGTTGGTTGGCTTCAAGGCAAGACAGCATGGCAGAGGAGAAACAGTCCAAGGGCACGCAGGCAGAACGGCAACAAGAGTATGGAGCCTGCCTTCCCTTTCCATCCCGTGCAGACTGCAAGGCTTTTGGGTGGGGCTAACACCCCACCATCCCCAGGATGGGGCTTCTGTCTTCAGTGAATCCACTCAGCCACACCCAGAACTACACTAATTCCAGCCAGGGACCTAATTTAATGCCACACACCCTTAATCTCACTATCACACACCCTAGGTCCAACAATTTCCAAAATGCTCCACCTATGAACCCATGAGATTTTGGGGGATATTCAGAAATATAAGTCATAACATCTTTCTTCTTCTGTTTCTCCACAGAGTGTCACTCTAATCCAAAAATTTATTCAGCTCAGTATTTAATATTATAGGAAATAGTGTTAAAAGCAAATGGAGTTTAAGAATTTAATGTTCTTTGTTTCTCATCTTACAAAACAATAGGGAATTTATTAACTTTAATATCATTAAAAAGTAGTGTAATTTTAAAGTTCCAAAGGAAATTTTATTCATTTAATCACAATGGTGGGAATAAAATATATTTGAGGAAACTGGCAAAATAAAACCACCCATAAGCACGTCACCTTAATTCAACCATTATGCTACTTCAATGTATGCATTTCTTTCTAGTGTGGCTTCCTATGTAGATTTTTGTATCGTTTTTGCCAGAGTACAACCCCATTTTTTACCCTGATTTTTCACTTAACATAAAATAATTATATCTTGATGTTTATTATTTATAACTAGAGGCTAAAATACATATAGAGAGCTGGACACTGTAGCACATTCCTATGATAGCAGATACTCGAGAGCCTGAGGCAACAGAATGGCAACTTTGAGGCCAGAATGGACAATTAGCAAGATCTTGTCACAGAGTAAAGTATTAAAAATATAACAGTGGTTGAGCCTGGCTCAGCAGCAGTGAGGCCTTGGGTCCTTCCCTAACACCACCATTACTACACATGCACACATATGCACATGCACACATGCATACACACTCTCACATGAAGCATTTGAGTGTATTCTTTAAAATTTTTTTTTATTTTAAAGAGATTAAGACAAAAGAGGACATAACAAAGCAGATCAGATCAGAACAATGCAAGTAACACAGCATTTTACCACAAGACAACCCATAATTAACAGTAACTACCACAATGTCTCTTTCTTTGAAATAGTTGAGCATAGCTTCGTATACAATAGTATCAAGCATAACGAAGTAGTATAAAACCATTCAAGAGAATGAAAGCATTACAGGGCTTTCAGAACCAAATAGCAGAGAACGAACAATGGCTATTATATTATCTCATTTTCCATAGAAAATTTGTTTATACTATAACATAATAATATCCAATAAAATATAATAGGATAGAACCAAAGTCAACAGAAAAACAAAAGCATAGTAGGACTTCAGAGTAAGATGATACTAAATCAGCTCTGGCTATTCTAATGTCTTCTTTAAAATAGCTGTTTATACTATCACAGATAATAAAATAAAAAAACTAGGATAAAACCATTCCAACTAATGAATGCAGACATTATAAGGCTTTAGAGCAATGTAATGGGGAATCATGATTACTATAAACTCTTATGTACTCTTACCATTTTTTACACAAGGGAGATTATTCGGTATTTATACATATGAGTTTGATTTATTTTGCTAATGAGCATGGTCTCAAGTTGTGTCCATTTATTTATAAATATCTCAATGTGATCATTATTTATAGCTGAGGAGTACTCCATTGTATAAAAATAGCACAGCTTTTTTATCCATTCCTCAGTTGATGGACACTTAGGTTGTTTCCAAGTCTGGCTATTACAAATTGTGATGCTATAAACATGGGTACACATATATCACCGTGGTATGATGTTTTCAGATCTGGGAATATGCTTAGAAGAGGAATAGCTGGGACAAATGAGACTTCCAATCCCAGCTTTCTTAGAAATCTCCAGACTGACCTCCACAATGGCTGCACCAGTCTACACTCCCACCAACAGTGTAGGAGAGTTCCCTTTTCCCCACAGCCTCTCCAGCATTTGTTGTTGGTAGTTTTCTTGATCCTGGCCATTCTTTCTAGAGTGAGATAGAACCTCAGTGTTGTTTTAATTTGCATTTCTCTAATAAGTAATGATGATGAACATTTTTTCATGTATTTATTTGCCATTTGTATTTCTTCATCTGAGAATTGTGTATTCATCTCAGATGCCCATTTTTGGATTGGGTCTTTGAATTTCAGGGGTTTGATTTTTTAAAAATTCTTTATGTTTTAGACAGAAGTCCTTTGTCTAAGGGACTGTTCACTAAGATTTTTTCCCAGTTTGTAGGTTTTCTTTACCCTATGCTGGAGATTTCTTTTGACATGCAGAAACTTTTTAGTAAGGTGTGATCCCAGCTATTGATTCTGGGAAGTATTTCCCATGCAGTTTGATTCCTGTTCATGAATTCTCTTCCTACCCCTGTGTCTTCAAGATTGTCTTCAAGGTTTGAAATTCTATCTTCACTTTCGTTGAGTCGATTTTGACAACTTTCAATGGAATTTTTGATTTCCTGTATATCTCTTTGAGTCTGCTTCATGTATTCTGTTTGTTTCTTAAATTGTTCATCCAGGGATTTTATCTTTTTGTTTTGTTCCTGTAATTTTTCAACTGTGTCTTCTTTAGATGTGTTCAGGATCTCTTTCATTACTTTTATCATTTCTTCTTTTACGTGGGAGATTATTTCTAGTTTGAATTCCTTTAAAGCTTCCTGGTGTTGCTTCTTTATTTCAGTTGCTATTAGTACAGGGATTTCACGTGTATGGCGTATATTTTGTTCAATGCACATGGCTCCTAGGCTTTCTTGGGATGGGCTGGAGGTTTGAGATTGCATTTTGGTCTTTCATTTTGTCATTTTCCTATAGTTCTGTGTTTCAAGTGTTGTTCTAAGGCTTCCCCTGGATGTGTTGGAAATTGTCTCCTATGCCCTAGGCTCCTGGGACTGAATGGAGGTTGCTGAGCGTGGTCCAGTCAGGCCCTCAGGCCCTCCAGTTCCACCTTTAGTGCTCTGGGTAACTGGGCAGGCACCTAACCACTGTGGATGATGGGCTAAAGCTTTCCCTGGGCAAAGACCAGTGCTAAAGTGTATTCTTATTAGATGTTTTCATAAAATAATCACCACCCGTGACTGAACGTTTTGACTTTTTTTTTTTTACCATGATAGTCAGTGTGCCTAAAAATATTTTTATGCATGCAACTTTCTGCATTTTTTAAAGAGAAGAATGTTACTATTTTGCTCAGGTGGTCCCAAACTCCTGGACTCAAGTGATTCTCCTGTTCAGCTTTCTGAACAACAGGGACCACAGGCGCATGGCCCTGTACTAACTTTCCACATTTTAAATTGCTTAGTGTTTTATTTATTTATTTTTCGTACCGAGGATTGAACTCACGACTTCACACTTGACAGGCAGGTGCTTGTGCCACTGAGCTAAATCCCTGGCCCCACATTTTAAATTGTGTGGATTAGCTTCCACTATTGGTTTCAAAAGTTGTGGACAAAAGGACATGAGTGTTTTAATGCATTTTAATACATATTACTTGATTATTTCTTTTTTTTTTTTTTTGGTATCAGGGGTCAAACTTACAACCTCACGCTTGCCAGGAAGGCACTTGTGCTGCTGAGCTAAATCCGCAGCCCCAGCTCGATTATTTCTAAAAGGATTGCACATGTCTTCACTAGCAATCTGATAGTGTTTTACCATTTTTGACAACACGTAGTGATTGTTTTGACAGTTAGCTCTTTTTACTAGGTTGTTTTGACAGTTTTTCTTTTTTTACTAGGTGAGAAGGGCTCCTCTAATATTCTTTTATTTACTTTACTGCTACAGAGTATTATTTCTCTCTATATTTGTCTACTAAACTATCTATTTATATCTTTTGGTTACTTACTTCTTGATGCTTATTTTCTTTTAGCAAATTTAAATTTATAGCAATAAAATTTATGGAAGATATTTTTAAAGTTTGCTTGCTTTATTATTTAATCAAAATTTGTTTTTATTATAGTTATAAATGCTAGAAAAATGAACACATACAGTTTTTTTTTTTAGCATTGAATTTTTTTTTGAAATTAGATTTGTTTGATCGAGGCGTAGTTAAGCAGTGATATTTCTGACCATATGTATAATTGGCAGCCAAGAATTGTTGAGCTAATAGAAACAACTGACAATTGTCTAATTTTTCTTTAGGAAAAGAGGAGCTAAAATTGTGTCCAAGAGAGTTGATGATTTTAAAGAAAAATTTCAACATAAACTTGGAAGAGTTTTAGATCCGTAAGTTAATGACGAGATACATATTGTCTTTGCATTAAAGTTAAAAAAGTACTCTTGATTGTTTTAAAAAAAAAAAATCGGAGTTTACAGATTGTTTAAAAAAAAATAAATAAATAAAGTTAAAAAAGTACTCTTGTGCTAAATATTGTTCTGTGTTTTACTAGATTTTATTAAAGAAAAAAATCATTTTTTAAACTTTAATGGAGTAATGTTAATCTTTGGACCATCTGAGTTTCCAGGAGATATGAGTTCTCCAAGACAGAAAGGAATTTGAAAAAAGAGAGAGAATTTGCATAAAACTTTCTTTTATTAAACTTTATTTCTGAGGTATCAGGAACTTAACTTTCTGTGCTTACATTTTTCTTTGTCTTCCCTGTCTGTCTCATCCTCTATTTAATAATTTTGCTTTGAATTTTTAAAATCTAGTTTATTAAAAGTCAGTGAAAGCATTTATCCAATGTTAATAATGCAAGTATACGGTGAGAAAATAGATCTTCTGGAGAACTTTTGTTTGATCTTTATAGATTGTGATAGGAGAAAGTGTAAACTAGGAACATATGGCAAACATTGAAAATTCCAGGAATGCCATGTGGTGGAAATTTTGACTAAAGAATTTATTTTCTTTGGTAGCCTTGCAGAAACAATGACTGTTCCCCAAGGCCACACATTTGGAGCTTGTCTGTCTCCTGAGGAATATGGTAAATATATAAACTTTCTCCTTATAAAACAATCAGTGAACAAACATTGTCAAAATCCTGATAAAATTACTCACCATCTCCTTTCAAGGTTTCTAATTTTTTATTTTTATTTTTTGGTACTAGGGATTGAACTCATAACTTCACACTTGCCAGGCAGGCGCTTGTGCTGCTGAGCTAAACCCCCAGCCCAAAGGCTTCTAATTTTTCATTATTGTTTTGTTGTAGTTGTTTTGAGACCAGGTCTCACTATGTAGTCAAGGCAGATCCTGAACTCACTATGGAGCCCAGGCTGACCTTGAATTTGTGGTGATCCACCTGCTTCAGCTTCCTGAGTGCTGGGATTATATGTGTGCACCTGGCATATATATTTTTTTCTTGTTATCGGGAATCAAACTCAGGACCTTGCATTTACCACCTGGTGCTTGTGCCACTGAGCTACATTCTCCTTCCATTTTGTTTGTTTTTTGAGACAGTCTAACTCTGTACTTCAGGCTGGCCTCCAAATTGTGGCAATCTTCTGCTTCTACCTTCTGAGGCTTCTATTATTATTATTATTATTATTATTATTTGTCTTTTTGAGACAGGCTTTTGTTATACAGTTCAGACTGGCCTTGAACTCGCATTAGTCCTTCTGTCTCAGCTTCTTGAGTGCTGGGATTACAGGTGTGTGTCACCTCACCTGGTTGAGTCTTCTAATTTTAAAGCCTTAAAATGTTGCATTAACGGTAACAAGAAAAATATTCAATTCCATAAAGGTTTTTTTTAAATATTACATTTGAAATAAGTACAGTTTAAAGCCTTTGTAATGAGTATCATTAATATGGTTCAAAATTTTAAATTTTTTCTTCCCACCGGGAACATAGTACAGTAGTATCTCGGTTCACAAATACTTCTGTTCACAAACAATTTGATTCTCAAACAAATGTACTTGACTAAATTTTGCTTTGGTTCACAAACGCCACACTGAGTGACAAAAGGTGGCTACTTCCCCACCCAAAACACAAAACAGCTATCTTCTCCAAAACTAAAAAAAATTAAGTTCATGAACTGAAGTATCACTGTACCTAACACCTACAATTTTAATGGGGGAGATGTTTATTTTCACTCATAGTTTGTAGGAATTTTACTCCATAGCTGGCTGGCTTCAAAGTATGGTGACTTGCCACAGGGCATGGCAGAAAATGCTGTTGTAGGCTAGGGGCAATGGTGCGTACCTGTGATCCTAGCACTCAGGAGGACTCAGGAGGCTGACACAGGACTGCAAATTCGAGCACCTACACGACAGAGTGAGAGCCTGTCACAGGGGCAGGCGAAAAGCCACCTTGAAAGGCTAATATTGTACCTTATGCAGGGTAGGTGTAAATATTAGTTGCCTTGAACTGCAAGCAGTGTTGCCGTTTAAATGAATCCACTCAGTTTACCACAACCAACTGCTGCGATGACCTTACTCCAAGAAAGCTGGAGTCTTTGGCAAAAGGGGGACGAGGTAGGGCAGGAGAAAATGAATAGAGGCAGAAAGATTCCTCTGGCTGTACCTGTCAGCCCCTGCAGCTGAGGAAGCAAAGTCAGCTGTATTTGGGGTGTGGGTTAGGACTCACTCCTGTTGTTGGAAGGGGTAGCCTTCCAGGGACACTGGCAGGATTAGCGGAAGCAAGGATTTGGCTTGCAGACTGAGGGGTGGAGGGGATAGAGAATAAGTTGCTGTTTTTTTTTTTTTTACAAGGGTTCCCATAAGTTCAGCCAACCCCAGGGGCCCTAATGACCCTCACTTGATCTCAGTCTCAGCTTTCAGATCCTTAGCAGTGTAGACCAATGTGGCACAGAGGTAGTGAGCCAAGGGCTTTATTGGCGTTGGAGAGGACATGATGCCTGGATGAGGTTGATGATGTCCCCACCAGTTTCATTTTTTAAGATTTTTTTTCTTGAGTAGAGAAGTTATGCGGAATAGAAACATTAACTTTTATGAATTATTTTATGTATTTTTTATACACAAAGGTTCCTAAAAGCATCAGAGAGTTAGAATTTTTCCATTCATAGAAACTGCTCTCTCTCTCCTCTCTGGGAAAAATATTGGGATTTTAAATTCAGATGAAAGACTTTCCCTGTCTTTCACAGGAGCTGACGATCTCATCTATAACAGGCACCCAGGTGAATATCTTCGAGGAAAGACTAGACAGCGAGCCCTGGTTGCTGCAGTCCGACATCACTTGAAGAAATTTAATTATCAAAACTTTGACACTTTGCTGGCAGCCTTCAGGCACTATGACAAGGCCAGTAGTAGGGCAGAGTTTGTGCTGTATGCATGGCTGAAAATCCCAGCAGGTTGATATAGATCAGGGGTCAGCAAACTATGGACCATAGGCCAAGTCTAGCTTACTACTTGGGTTTCTAACTCAAGCCCCCCCCCCCCAGTACTGGGGATCGAACTCAGGACCATGCGCTTGCAAGGCAGGTGCTTATGCCATTGAGCTAAATCCCCAGCCCCCTAACTCAAGTTTAATTGAAATATTTCTGTGTCTTTTTAAAGTATTAGCTGTGGCTGTTTTTGTTCTACATATGCAGAATTATATAATAGCAACAGAAAATTTATCATTTGGCTGTTACTAAATTTTGCTGACCTCTGGTGTGTAGATTAGTGGTTGTCAAATGTGGTTCCTCTACCATTATCAATCAGCATGCCTACCACAGATCTACCGAATTTGGAGCTCAGGGACAGTTCTGTGATTTTAGCACGGATTCCAGATGTTTCTGATCTATGTCTGAGAGCCACGATTGTGGTAATTAAATTGAAGCATGCCCCTGGAGTTTTGCATGTGCCCTTCTAGTGAGCAACACCCCTAACCCCCTTCATGAAGATTTAGTTATCTCACACACAGGATATTGGAGGAAACTGATGTGATAGTGATATGAATAAGAGAACCTGCCACAATACATAGTGCTTTGTTTTTTTAAAAAATTATTAATTTTAAATGTAATTATAGAAAATATGATCATCTTAATAGCTGTTGATTAGCTGAATATACCACCAGGCATATTCTTTATGATAAAATTAAATTAAGCAGAGAGGAAATTACAGATAATTATTTAATGCTAAAATACCTTTTAAGTAGTTAACTTTTAATATGCACAATGCAGTGCTCAGTGTCCTTAAGGAGCTTTTTATTGAGAGGGTAATAAGATATGAGTTTAGAAAAGTCATAGGATAATTTTTGATTATTTGAATCTGATATTGTTGCATGCCCAGATTTAATTTAACAGAAAAAACCAAACCCAAAACAAAAAACCCCAGAGCAAATAAACTATGATTTCCTAAATGATTCTTGGCTTGCAAAACTAACTCTATCCTTTGTTGAAAATCCATAATACATCAAACATTATTCCAAATAATGTATAGACCTTCCACTTAGGAAACATGAAATCTAGAGTAGTGAACCACATATTAGAGTAGCTATGATGTAAAGTACCACAGCTGGCTTGAGAGAGCACATTGTTAAAATTTTAGGAAGTTTGTAAGGCAGTTGGCGTTCCAATGGTGCTTAGAAATTAATCCTGATGAGAGCACTTATACCGTGGGCAGTAGCAACTGCTGAAAATCAGGCTTTATTTTCATGCCAGCTCCCGAAGAGCCAATTGTTAAACATACACAGCACGGAACTGGAGTCCAATGAGGGCCAAACACTGTGATAAAATTGCAACCAGACTTTTGGCTTTTAGCTATGATGCACCATGTAATTCATGATGGATGTTCTTAGCAATGCAAGTTAGTTGATTATTTTTCTCTTTTAATTAATTGGGTGAGCATATGTAGGACCCAGTAATTTGTGCTCACTTAAGGAATACATGAGTTGACAATATGTAAACAGTGTTGACGTAAAACTAGAATAGTCTTTGGGGCTGGGGATTTAGCTCAGTGGCATAAGCACCTGCCTTGCAAGCAGGCAGTCGTGAGTTGGATCCCGAATCCCCGGTACTGATAAAAAAAGAAAAAGACAAAAAAACAAACAAAAAACAAAACAAACAAAAAAAAAACACAACAAAAAAAACCTAGAATAGTCTTTTAAAGTAAGTTTTTCTGGTAGGCCTAGGGTTCTCAGCTTAGTTCAGTAATTGTTTCCAGTATTTATTTCTGGAGGGTCTGCTCAAGGGCAGTCAGTTTGTTCCTGCTGGAGCAGATGGTATCTACTTATTGTTGGCGTTCACTCACCCAGTGGAATAATAGAATTCACTTACCCTGTGGGATGACCATAAAGGAGTTCTCTGCTGTTTCCAGTAGATGTTGCACTCAGACTGTGGACAGAGAGGGGCACTTGTCCAGCAGGCTTGAAGCCTGACATTCGGCCCCCAGCACTCCAAGAACAAAGTGTGGGTGGAACTGCCTGGCAGTCAGTCAAACTTAGGTTACTTCTAGCAGCTTGAGAGAGCTGCACCGCAGCTTTTCCTTCTGGATGCAGTCTTTGGGAACCAGCTGAAACACCAAATAACGTTCCCCTCTCCTCTGAACGTCCCAGGTCTGCCATGGTTTCTCCCCAAGGCCCAATTGCTGCTCTTCCTCCAGCACCACAAAGATGGTGTCTTACTCCAGCAGCCATAACTTCACCTTTTCCCCTTCCTCCTCCCTCTCCCCCTTCCCCTCCCTCTCCCCCTTCCCCTCCCCCCCCGCCCCCTCCCCTCCCCTCCCCTCCCCTCCCCTCCTCTCCCCCTCCTCTTCCCCTCCCCCTCCTTCTCCCTTTACACTTTTTGTGATGCTGGGAGTTGAACTCAGGGCCTTGCTCTTCCTGGGCATGCTTTACCACTGGGCTCCATCCCCCAGCCCTGGAATCCTTGTGTCTGGTCACTGCCAGGGAGTAGACCAACCATGCTGGCCTGGGGGGCACTGTGGAGCAAAAAGATGTATAGTAATCAGGACCTGGCAGGGCAGAATCCTGAATTTTCAAAAATGGTCTTTATGATCCCTGCCTCCTTTATTTTGACTATTATTCAGGAAGCAGTTGAGTACAGCTGCGTTGAGGGGCCAAACTACTTTTACTAATGCCTATGGACCAGAAGTTGATGCGAAAGGTAGACAGTTTTTTGAGAATGCCTTTCTAATGCTAAGTAGTACCAGATGCCAATGAACGTTAGGGAGTAAGAATGCTTCATTTAACACCTTGGCTGACATATTGTCAAGTGGCTTTTGTGCTATAAGGTATACCATTGTCAGACTAAAAAATAGACCAAGAAAGAAAGCAAAAGCAAAAGATTAATTTCATGAGCCCTATCTTAGTTAACTTTCCTTATTTATTTATTGTCGTTTTGAGACAGAGTCTTAGTATGTGGTTCAGACTGGTCTTGGGCTCACTTAAACACTACCCACATTTTGGGTGGTATAACCCATACCCAGGATGGACCTTCCCATTATCCACATTCAGGACTGTGTTAGACCAGGCAGTAGAATAATGATTAATCACACACCCCTCATCCCAGCATCATACAGTTTAATCCCAGCATCACATGCCCTAGATCGGCAGTCGCTCAAAACTCTCAGCTCAGGGGCTGGGTGGGGGTTTAGCTCAGCACATAAATGCCTACTTGGCAAATGCAAGGTCATGAATTCAATCTTCAGTACCAAAACCAAATCCATAGCTCCCACCTATGAGCACATGTGGCTTTGAGGGCACATCTAGATGCAAGCCTTAGCAGGCCCTACTTTTGTGACTAGCCCTACCAGTTGACTAGAACTGCAATTTCATAACTTGAAAAGCATCAGTAGGGGTATAGAGGCACCGTCTGTAGTTCTGAAGCAGTTTGAGGAAGTCTGTGTGGGACATGGGGCAGCATCTCTGTGTGATGCCTCACTATGAGATAAGTGAGTCAGCTTTCAGCAGGAGGCACGAGATTGTAACAGAATTTGTTTTTCTTTGCCAGAGGCTCTAGTTAGCAGAATCATCAGGCTTGGAGATTTTTAGTTCAAAGAGTTCGTTAGAGTTGTAGAAGCCCCAAAGTCTGAGGAATTCTCTGTATGTATGTGTTGTAGATCAGGATAATCTCCTCTGGTGCTCAGGAGCTTTCAGAACACAGGCAGGTGGAGCGTCAGTGCCCATTCAGTCATTGAAGCTGAAACAGTAGTGATTTTATTTATTCAGGTTTTTGGTGCTGAGGGTTGAAATCAGCCCCATTGTTGACGTTCATTATTCTCTGGGAATGCTACTCAAACCCCACTGCTATTGTGGTTGCATACAGCTCAATGAAACAAACCACCAGTGTTTGTCGTGTACACAAAACCCTGTATTAGGCAGCAAGGTCATCATTACTGACAGCATCTATTTTGGTTTTGTGAATCTCTCTTTTTTTTTTTTTTTGTACGGGGGATGGAACTCATGACCTTGAGCTTGCCAGGCAGGTGCTTATGCCACTGAGCTAAATCCCCGGCCCCCTGGTTTTGTGAATCTCTTGATTCATTAGCTGCTCCTGCATTGCCTTTTTAGCTAGGCACATGAGGTTTGTGTTGACTTTGTCCTGCAGCACAGTTTTGTACAAGTGTTTACATTAACTCCAGGCACTTATAACTGTGTTGTCAAGATAATACCTTTTAAATTCATACTCTGTTTTAACATGAGGCTTAGGGAACTTTTCCAGGGCTGCAGGTCTGACTGTAGAAATGGGCGTAGTGTTCATTGGGGCTGGCTCAGTGTATAGGGGATCACTTCCATCAGAGTCTCTTGGGAGCTGGGGCCTGGGGGCTGGGGACAGAGCTCTCTTAGATCTGCCAGAACCCACTGCAATAAATAATAAAATGAAAAACATTTTTTTGATATGATGTTATGGCCTGTATCTAATTGTCCCTCTAAAACCTCATGTGCGGGGCACTAACCGATAGGCGTGTGATCTGGCTGGAGTAAAGGTGAAAGGGAGGCTCCCGTGTCTGCCTGGCCACGGACTGCTTTTGAACTGAATTTCCCTCTGTTTGGGCTCGGATAGGTGCTTCTGTCTTTAATTCTTTTATGAAAAGAGACTCCCCTCCTCTCCCTACCAGAATGAATTTTTATTATTTTTATTTACTTATTTTTTTTCAGTACTAGAGATTGAAACCAGAGCCTTCACAATGAGTTACACTCTCAGCCTTTTGAAAACTTTATTTTAAGCCAGAGTTTCCCTAGGTTTCTTGGTTGCCTCCTGAACCCAAGTAGCTGGCAGTGCAGGCATGTGTCAGTGCACCAAGCCAGAGTGAATTGTAGTTGTAATTGTTACAATGGGATTAACTTGGTTGTTTGGAACTTTCTCTGCCCCACTTTTCTTTTTTTTTTTGCACACAGGGTCTTGGCCTAAGTTCAAGCCGATTTTGAACTCTGTAGCCCAGGATGGCTTTGAACGCATGGTAATCTTTCTGCTTCCCTAGTGCTGGGATGACAGGCGTGTGCCATCACATCTGGCTGAATCTCTCTGTATCCTTAGAAGTGTTACCAAGTATAGCCAGGCAACTGTCTTTGAATCTACCTCAGCCCAGCTGAAGCATGAATAGTGCTAAGAACTTTGTAAACATGGAGTACTGTAAAAGAATTGTCAAAAGTAGATAGTACTTGTCAAATGAGATGGGAGGTGTGTATCATGACTGTACGTGGGCCATTCCAATGCAAACAGCATAATTTAAAGGAAACGGTTAAACTGATGAATGGGGGCTGGGAGTGTAGTTCAGTGATGGAGGATGTGCTTGGCATGTGTGAGGCCTTGGGTTCAGTCCTCAGGACCACACACACACACACACACACACACACACACACACACACGCAGAGCAGAGGTCCTAAACCACACACTGCTCCAATTAGGATTTGAAATTACTGTGTGCTTTTATCAGGCTGAGTCAATGAGAATCAATTTGGGGTTCCTGTCCTCTGCAAACAGACAAATTTTTTGAGCTTGTGTGACAGAATCTTTCTTTTTACTTAAACTAATGGATATTGCCTGTTCTTTGAGACCATGCTCATTTCTTCATCACTTTTTGCTTCATGTCTTACAGAAGGGAGACGGGATGATAGACAAAGCAGAGCTGCAGGAAGCTTGTGATCAGGCCAATGTGCATTTAGATGAGACCCTCCTCACCCAGCTGTTTGACTACTGTGATGTGGATGGCGATGGCCTGATTAACTACCTGGAATTTGCAAATTTTCTTACCTGGAAAGACAATATACCTCTTACAGATTATGAACAGAAGGTCATTATTAAAGGTATTTAATTTATTTCTTTATTTATTTTGAGACAAGGTTTTGCTGTGTATTTCAGGCTGTCTTGAACTTGCTTTGTAGTCTAGGCTGGCCTTGAATTGCAGTCTGTTTTCCTGACTTCGCTTTCTGAATGCTTGGATCATAGGTGTGCACACACGCCCAGCAAAGGTATCTAAGTTTTGAAATTTGCTGAATTCCTAAATTCATATTTTCATTCTTTTAGGAGCTTAATTCTTTATCAATTTTAATATTACATAACAAAGAAAAGTACACATACATACATATTTATCTATTTATTTGCTTATGCATAAAATATCTGTGAAAAGACAGGAAAGACATTGATAAGGTGACAGAAATTTTGAAAATTTAAAACTAGCAGCCTGATATCTTATTGAGAGAAGATCTGCTCATCCTGCCCACCATGTAGATAGACTGCTAAGCCCAGTCGGCCTTGACTGTCCAGCTGCTTTCAAAGATAGCGTGACCCAAGTCAACCTGATCACATCCAGCTGCAATGTGTGCGTCTTCCCACCTAAAAATATATCCTCTTTTTCTAACATACTTCAATGACTTTCTACCCAGCAACAGATGATGACTAATTTGGCCCAATGAAAACCTACCAGGCTTTCAAGCTTCTGTACTTCCTGCTTCAAAGCTGTAGCTAGACCTACAACTGTTTGGGGCTGGTGATTGGGGGCTGATTCCCACCAGCCCACCAGCATAATAAACAGTTGCTTCTAGCTTCTTGGCGTGGAGCATCTTCCTTTTGGTTCAGTACCAATTCTGCAACAGTAACGTTTATTATTCACAGGGAGGGGGAATTAGCTGGGTCAGGGACAAGGACAGGTAGCAATAAGATAAGTTTTTGATGTGTGTTTTGTATCTTTTGAATCTGGGACCATGTATTATTATTAAAAGAATGAAAGAAGATGGGTGTGGTGGTACCCACCTGTAACCTCAGCAACTTGGGAGGCTGAGACAGAATGATTCGAAATTCTTGGTCCACTTGGGAATTTAATGAGACCTAGTCTCAAAATAAAGAAAAAATAAGAAGGGGTGGGAATGTAGCTCAGTGGCAGAATACCCTGAGATTCATCCCCAGTACTTGAAAAAAGGAAAAAAAATTGAAAGTAAAATATTTGTAGAAGCTCAAAACATAGTTCTTTAAAAAACTCTTTGAAAGCTACTCTTAGAATAATTATCTTCCTTTCATCAGGAAAAATTTCTGGTGAAATAGGAATAGGTTTTGACATAACAAAAACTGATGTAAAAAGTTTTGTACAGCTGGAGTAAGGTGTGGTGGTGCCAGCACTCTGGCATGCTGAGGCAGGAGGATCACAAATTCAAGTCTAGCCTCAGCTGTTTTGCAATTTAGTGTGTCCCATCTCAAAATAAAAAAGAGGCTAGAGATGTAGCTCTGCGCAAAGGTCCCAGGTTCAGTCCCCTGCATGATAATATATATATATATATATTTTGAGGCAGGGCCTTATTATATAGTTCAGACTGACCTTGAACTCACTTTGTAGACCAGGTTGGCCTCGAATTCATAATGATCTTCCTGTCTCAGCCTCCTGAGTGCTGGGATTACAGGCATGCACCACCACTCTTGGCTTGAAAAATCTTTTTTAAATTAAAAAAATTTTGTACACATTGGTATGGTGGTATGTGACTATAATCCCAACATTTGGGAGGCTGAGGCAGAAGGACTGAGTTTGAGGCCAGGCTGGGCTATGTTGTGAGTTAAAGTCCACCCTAGAGTATATAAACAAGACCGTCTCAGAAAATAAAGAACAAAGGGAAAAAATTGCATAAAAATAGAAACATAATTTTTATTTTTGATTCAAATGTTTTCATGTTTACATATTATCTTCCCATATTATTAACAATACAGAGAGATATGTGTATGAAAATGTGTATGTGTATATATTTTAGACATATCTGTAATAACAATGAACATACCAGTTTTGTTTTTTTTACAGTTAGTTTTAAAAAGAAAAATAAGGAAATAAACCTTAACTTTCAAATTTCAGTGAAATGAGATATTTCTATAATTCTGTAAACTGTATTTTCAGTTCCCTCATGCGTATCTACTGTGATTTACTAAATCATTTCTTCATTTTTGAAATTTAGGCTGTTTCCAGATATTTTAAGTGTAACACAGGTAATGCTATGATTATCATCTGTTGAGAAGCTTTCTATTTCTATCTTATTTCTCATGAATGTTATTATTGTCCCAGAAGTAACTCTTTCTCTTTTCATTTTGCTTGTCTAAATGATTGTACCAATTTGCAATTTTGTTGCCCTGGACTGTGAGAAAGTTTTATTCCCAGCTTGTTACCACTGAGTGCTGCGTCAAACATTATTATAATTTAGTTGGTATAAAATGGTAACTCATTTGCTTTAATTTTCATAACTTGATTATTAGAAAGGATTAACTTTGTAAAAAGGTTGTTTATATGTTTATTTCCCCTTGGAATTTCTCTCCTCTAAAAAGCAAAGGACACTATCATTTCACTTTGCTCTCCTGGGTCATGTCCTTCTGCAGGGCCCAAAATCACATTTTGGTTTTTATTGATGGGATAAGCTCTTAATATTGTCTGTAACAGCCCTTCAATTCCATTCACTCAGCAGCAGAATTTTCTCTACCTGATTAAAGTTTTTTTTTTTTTTTTTTTTTGGTCTTTTTCGTTTTTATCGGTACCAGGGATCGTACTCACGACTGCCTGCTTGCAAGGCAGGCGCTTATGCTGCTGAGCTAAACCCCCAGCCCCTTGATTAAAGTTTTTATAGGAAACAATTCTATTTTATTTCTTTCAGAAATCAAGAGGAAAGGCCAGGTTCCCTTTTTAGAGCAACTGCCTATTGACAAATGAGAGTTCTTCAAATTGTTTTTGGTTTTTGGACCGTGCTTCAGATGTTTTCAGTGGAGTTCTTGAGGCTTTTATCTTTTAAGATACTAGGTTAGAATAAGCAAGTTAGTGGTTAGTAGGCCAGAAGAGATCCAAGAATGTTTCACCATGATTTTGTCTATCAAATACTGTCTCACAGATCTTTGGGAGGAAAGGGGATAAGTTCTCTAAGACAGTAGTTTTCAGTTTCCTGAGGAACTGTTTTTCAAACTTTGTCCAGATTTCTGCTTTTTATTGCGCAGGTGCTGGGGGAGTGGTAGAGGATCTGGAACTCTGGGTCTGAATGCTTTCATGACAAAAATTATACACATTTTAGGGAGGTGTATCTTTTCTTTTTTATTTTCCTTTCGGCTTTTTGAGGCAGGGTCTTGCTGTTAGGGCTCAAGCTGCCCTTGAACTCACTAGGTCACACAGGCTGCCCTTCAACTCCCCATGAAGCTCTTGCCTCAGGCTCCCAAATGCCAGGATTACAGGCGTGCACCGGTAAGCCCAGTTCAGGCTTGTATTTTCTGATTTGCCGCATCATCCACCCTTCTTTACTATGCACACACTACTTGCCTTTATAACTCTTGCTTGGACTTTCCAGAACTTTATGTTCCTTCGGAGATCGAAACGCCACAGTGCCCTCTAGCGGTATGTGTGGAGTAGCCAGGTCTCCGAAAGGATGCCTAGGAACGTACAGTACTCTTACATTTGAGAATTGACTCTGCAAAACAAATTTGTGAAGGAAACAGTGGTTTTAGCAGCTCTACCTCACCCATCTCCACTGGGTGCTGTTAACTGAACCTAGGGCTCTGTGCATGCTAGGCCCGCCGTTTTTCACTGAGCCACACCCTAACCCTGGGTTTTCTTTTATGCCGGTTGGTAGGGGTTATGTAATGAATTCCTGAGCTCACGGTGAGCTCTTGTTACCCCTCTGGGTGTCAGAATACCCATTCTGTACCCCCCAGGGCAAGCGTGTGGAACTTTCAATTCCAAATATGTTTACTCCTATTTTTCCCTGTGACAACAGTCCTGGGAACAACTCTGCAGTTCAGGTTATGAGAATAAACTGTAATTTAAAAAAAGGAGGGATGGGGAGGAAAAGAATGGCTTCCAGATTTACTTTTGGTTTTTCAGATTTGAACGCTTTATTCTAGGATAAGAAAGTGAAATGGCAAAAGGAAATGCTAGGCCTTGTTCAGATTATCTGCTGCCTGATGTTGGCCTGAACCTGCAGTGTTGCGTTAGCGTCTGTGGTGGCTTTATCTTTGCTCAGTTCCACTGGAAGTGACTACAGGAAGCTCATCTGTTGCAGAGCAGCAAGTGCCGAATAATAAAGTCTTCCTCCTGTGCTTTTTTTCTTTCCCATTTTGAAAGGTAGAAAACCAGATTGTGCAAACCCTGCTGAGGCTAACGTGAAAGAGTCTGAACCAACTCTTCTGATAAAGCCTGAAGATATTGTCTTAAAAGAGCCAGGGAGCTCAGAGAAGGTTGTTCGGACGCTTCAGAGACCAAACGATAAAGTGTCTCATTTCTATAAGACAAGCTCTTCTGAGATCAGTTCGGTCGTGGGAGCTGTTCCTGCTATCTGTGAGTATCTCACCTCTGTCAGATTTTAAAAGGATCAGCCAGGGAAGCACCTTTTGTCCTTGCTGATTCTTAGCTGCACTCAGGGTTAGATTGTTCATTCCTCAAAGCCTTGGGTCTAACTCTTAATTTTACATCCCAGGCATTTAGAAAGTCTCACATAAATGTTAGCTGAACTGCTAAGGTGACCCAAGGAAAATAATTTTTTGGGCGATGAAGTGAGACAGGGTCTTGCTCTTTAATTTACTGTTCAGGCTGGTCTTGAACTCACTATGTAGACCAAGCTGGCTTAAATTTGTGATCCTCCTGCCTCAATCTTCTAGGTGCTGGGATCTGAGGTGTATGACCTCACACCTGGCCCTAAGATTGGAACTTTGATGCATGAATTTTGGGAAGGTGCATTTCAACCCCTAACACTTGTATTTGTCTCTCAGGCCAATCAAATTGACAGTCAAGATTAACTGTCACACACCCATATCTCAAAACAGCATGAATATTGTTTGTTTAGAGACTTTGGCTGCTTAAGTTCACTTCCTTGAACTAAGGAGATGATGAAAGATATATTCTATCAACTGGATTTTACACACATGTTACACATTATAGTGTAATGAAATCATGCTACTCCCTTTAAAATAGTGCTGTCCAGGAGAAATGTAATTTGAATAATCTATGCACTATAGAAATTTCTAGTACATTAAAATGGAAATGGGTGAAATTAATTTTGATAGTGTATATATCCAGCACATCATTTCAGCAATTCATCATTAAATATTTTGCATTCTTTTCTTTGAGACAGGATCTTGCTATGAAGTTCAGGCTGAACTTGATGTCATTAGGTGGTCTAGGCTGGCTTCAAACTTGAGGCGATCCTCCTGCCTCAGTCTCCTGAGTGCTGAAATTACAAGTGTGCACTACCATGGCCTGACTTGGCAGTTTTTCTTTTGAGTGCAGACAGAATTTTAGTTTTACAGCAGATTGCAGTTGAAATGAGCCACATTTTGAGCGGTCAGTAGCCCCATGTGGCTAATGGCTGTTGTGTCATATGGCTTACTCTTAGAATGTGTTTCTCCTCCTCTTATGACCAAGGTTACCCCATCCATGGTGTTCCAACTGTTCGAGCTGATATTCCTGCTCCTCGGATTCGTCGCGTCAGCGATAGAACTAATTATGGTGAAGAAGGCAATGCTTACTCTTTATTACATCCTACCATCTTTGCGCAGAAAGGAGTGTTTGAAAGAGATTTCTTCAAGAACAGATCCAAAGAAGAGGTATGGAACATGGAAATGAATGCTTATCAATTTTTATTAGACTTTTCAAAATGTAAGCATTTATATTATAAAAGCCCAAATGATCCCTCAAAACAGGAGTAATGGTTATCATTTGGTTGTGACATTCCGGTATAATTCACTTTTGGGAACAAATTGAATAAGAATTTATTCTGAGAAAGATCTATTTCTCTACTTCCTATTACCTATCTTTTATTTTGCTCAAGAGTAGGAGATCAAGAGGGAGAGGGATGGGGCTGGGGGTTTAGCTCAGCGGCATAAGTGCCTACCTAGCAAGCGCAAAGTCCTGAGTTTGATCCTTGGTACAAAAAAAAAAAGCTGACATTCTTCAGGCTTCCCAGAACTGCATATTGAGACCCTGTCTCAAAAAACAAAGAAAGAAAAAAGAAACAAGCAACATAGAAAGAGAGAGAGGGAGGAAAGGGATAAGAGATGAAAAAAGAAATTAGGTTGGTTTATGTACATGTACCAACTCCACACATGGAATAGAAACATTATGTACTGCAAATAGGTACAAAAAACAAAACAAAACAAAATAAAGTAAGAGGATCAAGAGTTGGAAAGCAGCAGAAGGAGGGAAGGGAAGGGGATGGAAAAAGGAATTAAATGTGTTATGTACAAGTACCAACTCCACATAGCGAATGTTAACATTATTATGTATTAAACACATGTACTAATAAAAATTATTTTGTGACATGAAGCATTTCATTCATTTTATGTATTTATGGTAGATCTTGCATTGAAAACCAAAGTATTTTCTAAAACATTCAATACTGTTTGTAATTGGGGAATAGGGAAAGGACCAGCCCCTACCTTGCCTAAGTTATCTTGATGGCCTACGGGCCTCTGAAATCAAAGCAGGGCCCTCTGCCATCCTTTCTGTCCAGTGATATCATATGTCTCAGATTAGTTGAAACGATTTAAAAAATTGTATTTTAAAGACAAATAAATAAGACATACTGTTCTATTGCCATGCTATATGTCAGGCTATGCATTTTGTTTTGTTTTATTTTTCATTTTTCTTTCTTTTTAGTGCACAGGACTAAACCCAGGGCCTCAGGGTACTCAGCAAGTGCTCTACCTTGGAACTACATCCCCAGCCTTTTTTTAAAAAAAAATTTTGAAATGGGATCTTGTTAAATTGCTAAGTCACCAGGTTAGGCTCCAACTGTGATCCTTTTGCCTCACCTTTTAGAATGCTAGATTAAAGACATGTGCCACCATGGCTGACTCATAACAGATTTATTTCTACCATTCATTGCGGCCGACCCAGGTGGGGAGAGAGGAAAGGAAACTCCGAGGAGGATGCCTGATGGCTGGCCCTATAGGAAAAGCCCAGGATCCTCCTGCAGGGGCAGAGGAGAGACACTCTCAGAAGTTTTCACTTCCCTCAGTCACTCCAAAAAGCTTGTAAAATAGAATTTAAGGGTTGCAAAATAAAACAAAGCAATAACAAACAATCACAGGTCCAAACCAAAGACCAAACAACCAGCTACCCCAAAGCCCCACAAAAATCTCCTGCTTGTTTCATAAAGCCTAAAAATTCTAACTAGGAAGTCACCCTTTTTTCTTGCAAGTCTAGATTAAAAAAGAACTCAAGGGTGACATTCAGTTGAGAATGGGTAGGCTTCACAAAGGGCTTGGTTTGGTCAGTGCACTGCTGGTCCCGAGCACGTTGAGAGGTGAGCACTTCCTGAGCAGCAGAGAGGCCGCCAGGTGCTGAGTGTTGCTGAGGGCCCCGTGGGTTCGCTTCAGCACAGGTGCCCTTTCTCAGCAGCTGTGGGGGTGGGTACTAGGGCATTTTTGTCGTATGGCTGCAGTTGCTGGCAGCTCTGCTTGGTCTTTAGAATTTCAATATTTGGTTTGTATTTGATTATACCATAACTTATCCATAAAGGTACATCATGTCTAGGGCACCTTGCATGTTTATTTAAGTTAGTTGTTTATTCTTAGTGCATATTTGTAATGCAAATAGTGGTATTTGTTTTAGAGAATTGGGATATAATCTTTCCCTCCCCTTCCCTCTCCTCCCCACTTCTCTTCCCTTCCCTTCCTTTGCATGCCCTCAATATGACAGTTTTACCCTCAAGGTTGAAAATTTGATGAGGGTTATGGGGAAAAAATAGAGAAACAGAAGAATAAGATATTTGAAGCAAGTCTATAGGATAAACTTTGGGAAGCTGGTGAAGAAGACAGGCAGGAGATTGAGAAGGAAGAAACAAAAAACGAGAACACAACAGAAGAATGACAACAACAAAACTAGAAACAGTGTTCACATGATAAAAACAAGAACAAACAAGGCAAAGTAGAATAAAATAAAACAAAGACAAAAACAAGAAAGAAAGAAATGTCCTCTTCAAGGCATGTCTGCCATTACTGGTAGAAAAAATGGGCAGAGTCCAGATCTGAGTTGATTCAGCCAGTGGTGGCTTATGGTGGGGTAGTAGATAATCCTAGTAAGCCTGCAGCTCCAGGTCCACTGAAGTGTAGGCTGGTGTCTGACTGTGAGACTGGAGCATGGTTTGTTCAGACTGCTGTGCTCCACGTGCTTCCTGCTTCCTTGAACTCAGCATCATCGCCCTGACTCTGGAAGCCTCTAGATGCAGTCAGCCTGCAGCTGTTCTGAGTTCCAGGCTCAGTTCTTCTAGATGACTACGGGCAAATTGCCCTCTTCTGGGAGATGTGTGAATCCAAATAACTCACAGCCACTGCAGTCCACTGCTCCATTCCCCTGTGTATTTCTCCATGAGGTATCTGGGGTCACTATGCATCACTATAAAATCTATAAAATAGACGTGTATAAGTCATTGTTACGGGATCTAGGCCTCCAGTTGGACTCGTGGGAGGCACCGTCATAGGCTCTAGGTCTTCAGCTAGACTCATGTGGGACCTTGCTGTGGGATCCTGGCCCTCAGCTGGATTTTCTAGGTCTTTAGTGTTGTGGACAGATTTCTTGCACTTTTTGTATTTAACTCTGCATGACCATCATAAAATAATAGAAATCCTGAGTCCTGTATGTAATTGTTCTCCTGGCAACCCCTGAATACAACAGTGTGCTCACTTGATTACATGTGCATTATCTCTAGCACTTGCATAATCATGACTATAGTTAAAGTTCACAGCAGACGGTTAGGTATCTTTTATAGATATACCCACTTTAGGCTGGGTGTAATGACAGACACGTGTAATCCTAGCACTGTAGGTAGCAGAGGCAGTAGGATTTCAAATTTGGGACCAAATTAGGCAATTTACCAAGGCCTTATTTCCAAATAAAAAATACAAAAAGGCTGGGTTTGTAGCTCTGTGTGAAGGACCTGGGTTTATTCTCTCTCTTTCTGCCTCTCTCTGTCTCTGTCTCTCTTTCTCTCTATTTTTTAAAAATTTAAAGCAGAAAAAATAAATATCCAAGGGGATTACTTGAGATATGCGAAATCATAATGACAATAAATAACTTGGATCAAAGTTAAATCCAGTAAATCTATCTTTTACTCTTTACTTGAATTGTGCTATTTCTTGGTAAAAGAATCAGAAATTATTAGAATTGAAAATAATGGTATATATTGGTTAGTACAGCTGGATAACCTAGATTCATAACAAAAAAGTGATTCCTGAGTGAAAAGTCCATTGATACTTTCTCATTTTATATAACATAGACTCATACAAATACTTCCCTACACATGTGTACACATACCCCCCCCCCACACACACTTTGGGTATAAATATTCATAATCTTAGAAGTTATAAAGATATTTTAAAATATATTGTAAAATACATATTTTAGTCTAATTTTTTTTCTAGATTACAGAGATACTATGTAACATTGGCATCAAACTTTCTGAAGAAGAATTTGAAAATGTGTGGAATCTTGCATCTAAAAAACATCACAGAGGAGAAGTTTGTGTTGAGAATATCAGAAATGTTCTAGATGAACTACAGCATGCAGACCGGATCAAATGTAAAAATTCCAAGTGATATTTATGGAATTCATGAATTTAAATAAAAGAATTGTTAAGTCTGTATACAACTAAAGTGTTTGTCCATTCCAATTTTATAAATGTTAAAATTAAGCAGTCACTGTGTTTGGACTGATACACCTACGTGCTACTAATAAATTAGATTTGGTTTTAAAGATTTAAAAAATTGATTTCAATAAGCCACGCAAGAATCTGACAAATGATTGAGCAGATATTTTAAACTTTATCAAAGGCGGAGTTCAGAATGAGATCAGAAGACAGGGAGTGTTCAGTAGGGTAAACAGTTCCGTGCATTTTAGTTGGTTGTCTGAAATTCATCTGGTTTGTGATTCCAGGCACATAAAATTTTGTCTTCACTATTTTATTATTAGATTTCTTTATGAAAGGCTTACGTTAGAAGGTTTTTTTTTTTTTTTTTTTTGTCTTTAATGGCATTTATTAGGATACGATGAAAACAAATTCAATCACAGGATTTAGACAGGAAAAAATAGACTTCCAACAATTGCATAATGACCAAATTTTTAGTGTCCTTCTATGTCCAGGAAATATGCTGTCCTTGATGTATCTGAAGAGAATACAGCTGACCCATCATTGCTAGTAGCTATGATGTGGCAGTGCTGTTATTATAATAACACCAGCAGAATGTGTTTCCCGGTATCAAACAGGTGCCAGTAGGGGTTGACTCCGCAACTGAAGTTCTGTGTTTTCTTTGACACTTTATCCTCACCTCCTGAACTTTCAGTTTCTGTACTTGGTCTATTAGAGTAGTTCTATTTTCTGCTTGTTTTTGTTTATTCTTTGTTATTATGAGTGCCTATTAATTTTTCAGAGTGTTGAGTTTCAATGTATATATTTTGATCATCTCCATCCTAAACCTTACTTATTTTCGTCCTCTTGTCTAATAATAGTCATCTTTCTGCCTTCATGTCATCCTTTTTAGATTCCATATATTAGAAATATGTGATATTTCTAATTTTTTACAAATTTGTCTTTCTAGCAGAGAAAACAGTTCATGATTACCTGAGGGAAACAAAGCAACAAGGGATGACCACAGTTTTTTCTATCCCTTTATTTTATCCCAGTTACTTAGGGTGAGTAGAACTCGCATCCTTAATCTTTGTGCCCTTGATCCTGGCATTTGCGCCATGAATCAGTCTCAATGTCACCTACTCTAAATCCAGGCAACTTTGAAAATGCATGAGTGCATGAGGTTTTGCAGGACATTTAGACACCAGCCATAACATGTGCCTATGACTTCAACCGTTTGCCCTATATTTTCTTTCGCAGTTGCAAAATTTCAAGTTTAATGCCTAGGTCTTTGGTATTTTTTGACTTGATTTCTGCTCAGGGTGTGAAAGAAGGATGTAGTTTCAGTCTTCTCCTGGTGAATATCCAGTTTCCCAGCACCATTTGTAGAAGCTGTCATTTTTCCAATGAATATTTTTGGGTCCTTCGTTCAGAATCAGATGACTGTGGTTGCATGAGTTTGTTTCTGTGTCTTCTGTTCTCTTCCCTTGGTCTATGTATCTATGTTTGTGTCTGTACCTTGCTGTTTTTGTTACTATGGCTTCGTAGTATAATTTGAAGTGAGGCATTATGATGATTCCATTCTTGCCCTTTTTGGTTGACATTACCTTGGGTATTCTGGATCTTTAGTATTTTCTATGAATTTCAGGGTTTTCTAGTTTTGTGAAGAATGTTGTTGATATTTTGATGACAATTGCATTGACTTGATAGATCACTTTTGGTTATATCACCTTCTAACAATATAAATGCTGCTGATTCACAAAATTGGGATTTTTTTCCCATGTTGTAGCATCTTCTTCAATATCTTTCTTTAACCATAACATAACTTAATTATTAAATTATCAGTACTGGGCATTATACTTTTCTGATAGGTCTGGAGCAATTTGTTGTTGATTAGTATGAAAAATACTGTTTGACAAAAGCGTTTTGGTTATACTATGGCTGAAATTGACTTTAACAAGAAAGACCAGGGCTGGAAGAGTAGTTCCGTGGTGGATCAGTTGCAAAGCATATAAAAGTTCAAGTCTCAGCATAAAAAATAAAAAGACAAAGCTATAGCTCAAAATTTGCTTTACCTATGTCCAGGAAAAATAAACTTATAAAAATTTATATAGGTCATTCATTAGCTCATTCATTCATTTATTTTCAAACTGTTGAGGACAGAACCAAGGTCCTCATGCATGGTAGACAAATACTTTTTGTTGAGCTACATCCCAGACTTTTTGTTTTATTTTGAGAAAGGCTTTCACCATGTAGCCTAGGCTGGCCTGAAGTCACTATTCTTTTGCCTCTGGAGTGCTGGGATTACAGGTATGTACCATCAGCAGGTAAGCTGATTTGAACTGTAATTTTTGTCATAGGTCATCAAAGATGTGGTAATATACCAATAGTAAAGGGATTCATGTTCATGTAGTAGAAAATCCTGCCCATTTTATATTTCTTCCTTTTTGTTTAAAAATTTGTTTTTTAAAGATTAATTATATGAAAGAAAAAAAAACAAGCTCACAGCTAGTACAGCTCTTCTCATACATAAGAAAATGGAAGGATTAGAGGATAATAAGATTTCTCTTGAAATGTGTCTTGGTTACTTTTCTCTCCTTACTGAGACGAAATATCTGACATCCAACATGAAGGAAGGAAAGGTTTATTTCTTACAGTTTTTGGAGATTTCAGTGCATACTCAGTTGGCTCAAAGGCAGGGTGGCATGGCTGAGGGGCAGCCATTCTTGGTGGCTGCAAACAGCAAGAGCGAAAGGGCTAAAGAGGGAAAAGCACATCTTGCTTCCCTTACACTGTGTGCCGGCTCTGCCCCTGGGCAAGAGCAGCTCTCACACTGCCAGTGCCAGTGCTGGACAACAGACAGTCACAGACACTAGATTCAGCCACCTCCGGGACTGCATGAGGCTCGGGGGGCCACTTAGACACAAAGCATAACAAATGTTTTCCAAGTTCATGTTCTCTTCACCCACTGGGCTTAAATAATTATCCTACATTCAAGAAGGCATATGCTCATTGACACTGAGGCAACAGATGAATCATTTTTCAGGATGGTCCCAAGCTCTCTTCTCTTTTTTTCAAGACAAGGTATTATTATTTAATTCAGGCTGGCCTTGAACTCACTATACAGCCAAAGCTGGTCTTGAAATTGCAATTCTTTTTTTTTTTTTTTATTTTATTTAAGAGGAAAAAGAGAAAAACACAAAACAAAACAAAGCGGTGTAAGGGTACACGTAATACAGAACTACAAAAAAAAAAAAAAAAAAGAAAAACATAACAGTAAGAAATCACCTGTTAATAGATTACATATTATCATCTTGAAAATAGTTGCTCAAATCACAGTATCAAAGAATACAAGGTGGACATTCAAACAGGGAGACTGCAAACAGCTGTGTTCAATGATCCAAAATCATTGATATAGTCAGCTATTTAACACCCCTAAACACACTTGCTGTTATATCCGTTAGAGCTCTTTTTATTTTTATTTTCCCTCTCTTTTTTACAACAAAATTTACACATTTTGGATTTTATTACTCCTTAGTGCTTATTACTTTTTTGGGGGGGAGAGAATACAGTCAAATATGGAAAAACAAAGCTGTCAGTCAAAACTAAGGATAGACATAGCACATGGTGTTAGAACAGAGTACAAGGTTATCAACAATGGCTATCAACGTTGTCTCTTGTTTCCTTAAAAAGAATTGTCTATCTCATTAGATATTATAAAGTTGGACAAAACAGTAGAGAACAAGACCAATAAAACTTAGGCATTGTAAACATTACAGGACTTCCAAAGAAGACAATAGTCAAACCAGAATGGGCATCGTAGTGAATCTTATTGCCTTCAAAGTAGTTGCCTATATCCTCAAACTTGATACTATCACACAGAATGGAACAGAGTCTCATCAGTCAAAACAAGATCGTGGGAGTATTACAGGACTTCAAAACGAGTTAACAGGAAATAAAAAGTTACTATTTATATATCCTAATTTTTAAAATTTTTTCCCTTAAGTAAGACAAACAAAAGAAATGACTAAATAATTTTTTTAAAAGAATAAGGGGGAGATTGAGATAAAACAGGACATAACAATATAACAATAGAGGTCAAAGCATGACTGTTTCAGCAACCTAGTACTTCACCACCATATAACCCGACTTAATAGTAGTTACCATAGTGTCTGTCTTTTTCCTTGAAATATTTGGATAAAACTTCATATACTCTAGCTTCAAATATTTCCATATCAAGAAGCCCAGAATAAAGCCTTTCTAATTAATGAGTGAAAAGTTTATAAGGCTTCAAGGCCACCTAATGGGGAATCATGATTACCACATATTTTTATATATTTGAATCATTACTTACATTAGGGAAACTATTCGGTATTCACCCATGCGAGATTGATTTATTTCACTTATGAGTATGGTCTCAAGCTGTGCCCATTTATTGATAAATATCTCAATGTGATCCTTCTTTTTTTTTTTTTTTTTTTTTTTTTTTTTTTTCAGGTAAGCGGTTCTTTTTTTTTTTTTTTTTTTTTTTTTAATTTTTATTTAAGGAGAAAAGAAAAGAAAAAAAAACAGTGAAGGGTACAAGTTATACAGATTTACAGAAGAAAAAAAATGCGCAGTAGGAAATCACTAGTTAATAGATTACATATTGCCATCTTAGAAATAATTGTTCAAGTCACAGAATTAAAGTTTGTAGAGTGGACATTCCAGCAATGATACTGCAAACAGTTCTGTTCAATGATCCATTAGAACTCTGTGATATCATTTTCTGTCTTATACATTTAAATATACATGCAGTTATATAGTTTAGAGCATTTTCTTTTCCTCTCTTTTGTACAGTGACTATTACACATTTTGGGTTTCATTGCTCCCACTGTTCTTATTGCTTTTTTGGAAGAGAGTAAAACCAAATGTGACATGACAGAACAGAATCGGTCAAGTCAAAAGGGTGGATATAATAGATAATATAAAAACATAATACAAGGTGATCAACAATGGTTACCTTA